GGGTGTCAAACCATCGCACAACTGCACTTGGATATGTCTCAGTCCTGTAAGTAAAAGAGAAAAAGGTCAGTACTCGAGCAACATCCATACCCCTCATTTCGTCAAGGTCCGGATTCACGTTAACAAAGATACAGTCATAACATGGGTGCTCCTTTCTCCATGCTGGACATGCATGAATGTGCTCGTGGCACATACCACCAATGCCGCTGTGATCACTGGGGGAAAAAAACCTTGAGCATGCTGAATTAAAAATATTGATTTTGTCGTATTGGGGACAGGTCGCAAGAGGAACTTCTGAAGGATCGCGTTGGTCATTTGGATTGAGCTGGGCAAAAAGGAAGCAGGACATCATATGTGGGAGTTGGGGAATCAACGACTGTGCGTGCATGGTTGTGTTCTGATACAGTATGATATTAGCTAGTGAGAATAAACAATGATGATAATGAAAGAACATACAGGCTGTCTTCACCAATTCCACATGTGCTTGGATGACAGTCAGGCCAGTGTCAACTTCGACATCCCCGACATCCCAGTCTTCCCACACACCCACCTCACACTCAGCATTAGGTGGCAAAAGATTTCCAGGCTGGTCATTTGCAATTTGGATTTCTTCTGTTGTAGGGTTAGTTGCAGCACATCAAATGTAACACTTTTAGACTTACGTAGTGCATTGATAGCTGCTGCAAGACATGTCCCGCTGAGCATGCCACAATTTGTAAAGTCAGCCCGTTGTAGAGACTCATGCATCTCTGGGCTTAGAAACTCGACTTCTCTCACCTTCCTAATAACATCCAGCTCTTATCCCAGGATTAGTCTTGCGCATGTGCGCCCCTTTTGCTTTGCAGGTATCTAGCGCGCGTAATCCATGAACAGCTTGGTCTTTCTTACAAAAACTCAAGGGAATTGAATAAGATAATTGACAAGCAGCTTCCCAGTCACCCAAAGTTCAGGTGTGAACAAATCGTCATTGCAGGTGAGGCATTCGACATTTTCTATAGGGATGTCATCAAGTGTGTCAAGGCCTTGTATGGTGATCCAGATTTTGCCAATTTTTCAGTCTTTGCACTGGAACACCACTATGCAGACAAGGAACAAACTGTCCGGTTATACTATGATATGCATACTGGTAAATGGTGGTGGGATACTCAGGTAAGTTTATATTTTGAAGATTTCTGCTCATTGAAACTAACTGATGTGTTAAATAGAAAAAACTTGATCAGCACAAACTGGGTGCAACTATCATTCTGATTATTATTTCAAGTGATAAGACTCAAGTAACAATGTTCCACAACAAAACAGCTTACCCAGTCTACCTTACCATTGGCAATATTCCAAAGGATATTTGCTGAAAGCCATCTCACCGTGCCCATATTCTTCTCGCTTATCTTCCCACTACCCGTCTTGAACACATCACCAACAAGGCTTCATGATGCTGAACCATTGCCAACCTGTATCATGCCTGCATGGGCCATATCCTAGCACTGCTGGAGGAAGCTGGCTTAGACGGTATCATCATGAAAAGTGGGGATGGTACACTGTGTGTTATGATGATATAGATATGACTTTATGGGTAAGAACACTCACCTGGTATTCTAGCCAGTCATCTTTATCCCCCGAAAGGGAAGAAATCCCCCCATTAAGATTATGTCGGCCTCGAGCAAAAGCAGGGATTATATGACAGGCTCTCAAAACTGCTCCTGGATCCATGAAGCCAAAAGTGGTTGTGTTTGTCAATGGCAGGAAGTGAACTCATTCCAAAGCATGTGTTTCCCATGAATGGTGTTGTATCAGTTCATACCACTGAACAAAAAGAAAATCTATTTGGCAGGACTCATATACATTATCTGAGTGCACAGCATTGATATGGTGGATACCGAGCACTCTCGCATAACAATATTTGACATTGGATTCATCACCATGCTGGAGCAGCATGATGTTGCAATGGGGTGTCTGAGGATTTATCACGTCTTGAGTCCTTCGAATGTTGTACGTCATATAGTTAAGCCTGACAAGGTTGTGGTGGTAGATTCTGTTGAGCTTGAAGAAATGTTGTCCCTGGTCGGGATGGGCAGAGTTCTCCACCGAAGATCCAAGAGTCCCTATGCGGCCCAGGATATGATCCATCAAATGTGGTACGAAGTCCTACATCATAATATTAGAACAACAATTGAGCACCCCAAAAACCTTACCTTTATGGCAGGATCCCCTGCATGACTGCGTAGATAATGTCCCAAATCATCGAAAATTTTCTCACTTCGTCCAATATGATGGTGTAATTGGGGGTCGATTGCAGGTTCATCAGCTTGCATATGAGGGGCCGGTATTGCCTGCCGGTGTTTGATATGACGTAAACAATTTTGACGGTGCTCAATTTGAGTTAGCTGGCAAATGAAATTTCTGTGATCGGTTCGATGGTATCTGCCTTTCAAAGTTCAGTGCTCTAACTCTCCCTTATAGTAATTGAGGTAGGGAGCAGACAGGGAGTAAAAATAACTTACTGGTTCTGTACTATACAAGTCTGTTGTGCCAAAGCGACAAATGGAAGTGACATAATCACCTAACACATGGAATTTGTACATCTTTAGATTAAGCGACTTCTTCATCCTTGATGGCCTTGGTAAACATGGATCCTGCAACTGCTCAAAATTTGCCTTCTGTTTCCCTTTGGCATTATCCCCTACCCTCTTTTGAGCCACTATTCTTTGCCCAACACTGTTTGGCATGCTGCCCTCTGTGTGTCTGATAGCATCCTTTGTCTGCCGACGAGACCTCGCATCGACCTCATGGTCAAGCTCTTGTGTGTGGTATGCAGTGCATACCTTCATTTTGAAGTGATGGAATTTTTCACCAAGGTGGGTGGTTTGCTTGTTGAGAATCTCTAAGGTGAGGTCAGAATGCATGCACAGTTTGGTGAGGCCATGCCAATATGCCATAATGAAAAGAAGATTGAGCAGAATTATGTTGTGAGCATCAGGGAGGAGGCCTTTGAAGACAGGAATAGAACACTTGTACAAAGTTAGTCCATGAACATAAATGAGAATGGTCCCTGAGGTGTACCTGTAAAAGATCCTCAAAGTTGTGTGCCGCCATGTTTGACATTTCGGAGGTGTTAGCGGAGAACCGCCTAATAGTTGCAGGACCAAATGGAGGGACCTGCCTGTACCTGTCAGAGATGGAAATGAGTACCCCAGATGTCATGAAAAAACAAATTCAGCACCTCTTGTCAAGCTCATGTACTAAGTCCTTGTTTAATGCAGTCAGAATTCTCAGTAACTGAATCAGAAGCATGTGCCATATCCCCAGCTCAAACTTGTAAAGGAGATCGATGACAAGTGCTGCAAATACGTTGAATCCTAATGCACTAAGTTTGTTAGATAGCGCATTCTTATTAAGTATTAGTTCAGGTGACAAATGAGACTAACGATTAAGCTCACTCAATTCGGCACCCAGGAATCAGGTTTGAGAAGCACCTCAATGGCCGTACTGTCAACACTATAATTTTCCTCATAGATAAGTTTGTGTGCAGTAGCAACAGGCTGATCCCTCGAGACATTGGATTGTGCCAGGGTTGAACATTATTGCCAATCATGGCTCATCCCCAAATTTTGAAGCCGTCCAGTTGGTATGAGACAGCGTGGGCAAGGACAGCCTCCCAGCTGCTAAATGGTTGCAACAAGGACCCTAGATTAGTTAGTTTAGATGGCTTACAGATAATGATCATGACTCACTTTTTAGGGTAATCCGCAGAGTAGGTAAAGACTCGTGGGAAAAACCTATGTTTGATTCTGTCACAGCAGAGAATGACCATTCCATGTTCATACACCTCTAAAAACTCTTCGTTGAGCAAGATATTCCACTAAGCTTGAAACAGTTCACATTGGCAATGTGTCATGCATTCATGGCCAATCCCTTTGCCATTAGTGTAAGTTCCCACAAAATCCTTGAATGTGTCCGGAAGCTGCCAAAGTGTGCTTCAATGGAGAGGACCTCGATTCAGGAGGAAATCGTACCTTTTGAAAACATGTGACATGGTTCCCCAAATTGCAGGATGGCCTACAGCAGCGATACTTAGATTCATTTCTAATGTACATATAAAGCGGCCACAGCTTCACATTACCAGATGCTGTCAGTTGTGTGGCATCTGACCAAAACATCAAAGCGACAACAATGCAGGGTAAATCACACTCTGGCTCTCCAGGAGACTCAAGGAGATCACGGTGGGCATCCATAAAGGCTGGTGAGGTGTAAAGCTCACCTTGAATGTTGACCTCGTGGGGAAGATGGGAAGTATTCCATCGCAATTGGTAAGGTTCATAATGAAAATGCTTATCATCCTGAGCATTTGCAAGCTTTTCTCGAACAATGGAGGTGAGTGACCGATGGTAAAGTTCAGCTGCAATGTAAGGTTAAGGGCCTGGCTGAGCTACAGTCCAAGAGAAAGGTATTTTGATGTTGACTTGTGTTTTGTGCTAACCGGCATCCTCATCCTCCCATTCCTCCCCCTCGCCATTGTACACACTTGCACCTAGCTGTGAGTCTATTCTGGCCCATGGTGTACTCCAGACATCATCAGGATTAAAATCTGGATCACTGACGATATCAATAAGTTCTTTGAAACTCTGCTGGGACTTCTGTGTGCCTCCATGCCAGTACCAATGACCCAGCTCGAAGGATGATTGATTGGGGTAGGGGAAAAATGAAACATTGTCAGGCTCTGTGAGGGCATCTAGCTTAGTTGGGGCTATAGCCGGGACATGACTGATATCTTGGAGTGTTACTGCTTCCTCTGGGTCATGAGAAGGGGGGGTTGATGAGAAGAACTGGCATATCAACCCAAATATACTTCTAGCAGTACAAAAAGGGGGGGCCTGCGAAGATGAGCAAGCACTGGTAGATGCATCTGCTGAACTGGCTGGTTGGTCAAGCTCTGGTGCTACAGTAGTATAGCTGGAGGGAAGGCTTGGGGGGGCTTGCGGAAGCACATCCTTGTATTGCCTATAATGAAGCGGCAATGGGATGTCAGTGTGTCAGCTCCTCTGCTGCACCAGTGACAAGCCCTGTTCTGTGTTAATCTCTATAGGTGAGACAGCAAGATCAGTATTTAATGATAATGTGGGTGTGTGGGCCTACAGCAGGTCAGCAGATGGGAAAGAGCCATTCGCAAGGTGGCCTGGCTCGCTCAACGCCACTATGATAGGGCCAGTAGACTGTCTATCGAGGTTGTGGTTAACTCGTAACCGTTTTGTGGAGCCAAGAAGATGTTTTGCTTTGGATAAAGCAGAGAATAATCGTTTCTTGCCCTTAGTGCAAGAGCCCTGATGTTTTGTGTAGGCACTCTCCTGCATGAACTCACAAGTACAAGCACATCTGAAGGGAGTCGGCAATGAACCTGCCCAATCCATGAAGGAGCTGAAGGGGTAAGGATGCGGTTGAGTCTGACATTGAAGGGTAGGTGGAAGAACTGACGATTTTGACAGCATAACATAATATGGAGGGTACAAGCGATCGAACCACTAGATTCCCACCTCTTGCAGCAGGGTATAGTGAGTGGGGACACTTTATGGTGGCAGCATAAGCTGGGCAGATGATATTACTACATGTCGCAGTCTCATAAAAGCAGAGTAAATACTGCATATTTGCCACACTAGATCATGCAATGGAAGCCCCATCTTCACCTTCGTCTACCATCACTGCCCCACCTGACTGTCGCAAAACCGCTTGGAGGTTAGCGAAATTAATTGTGGAGGCTACATTCTGCGACTTTGCCCTTCTACACTATGACAGCACCTCAAAGCCCATGGTCCAATGGTGGTGGTGAGACATGCCTATTTCATATCCAAATTTTGAGTCATGATGCTGCTCCACACAAATGCAGGCCTATCGATGGTGATGGAAAGAAGATTTTGCCATTTAACCTGGAGATCCACCGCAAAGAATATGAATTGAAATACCCATGCTGCCTATGCGCCGATGGTAGGGGTAGGACTGCATACATAGAGTGCATGGTGTACTTGTGGCGGAATAAGGACACTGGGCAGTTCAATTGGACTGCAAGGTGCGCATCTGATGAATGTGGTTACCGAGGTCAGCATTCTTCATGCTCAAGAAAATCACAACTGAAGAGTCGACCTCACCTAGTTAAAATTGACACATACTTCAGGCTACCAACTATAACCACCTTCCAGTATCCTCGGTTTACTTTACAGATTTCAAATGCTCTTGTTGTACTGGCGGAATCTGATATGCTGTTGTTTGAACAACAACTTTGAGTGACAAGTTGAACATGTCGTGGATTTTGACTGATGAGTATCCAAGCTCTCTGCAAAGGAGGCTCAATCTGCTATCCAGAGGATCTTCCTTTTGGAACTCGCAGAGACAAAAACCGGATTTTCGAATTTCCATGACCTCACCATATATGAGTGCAGCTATGCAAGTGCTGCTACTATTTGACTGCATTGTCGCCTTGGAAGTGGTACATTTTTGTGTATGGAGACGACATTCAAGCTGATGACATGTGGCCTTTCCCTTTCCCTTGCATCCAGCAGTGCCTCACCCTAGCTTGCAATGGTCCTCTACATTTGAGCAGGCATTGCTAATGCATTGCTAATGCATGCATAATATCACATACTCTGCCTGTTTGTGGTTGTCCAAAATCTACAATCTTATCGCTCCAATGAAGCTCCATACCCTCCAATCCACAAAAAGCCGCAAATGTGGACCATGCTCCGAGCATATACAGTTGGGGACAGGCAAAATTAACAACTTTCATAGCAGACTGAGGGATTTTTTTGGCACAAAACAGCCTTCAGATATCGATTCTACAGGTCAAAAGACATTCAGAAATGCCTTGGACTGAATTTTCCCATGTGTTTTTTGGGTACGGCCAAATTTTGGGGTAAATTTTTTCTTGATAGACACTAGGAGCACAACAAAATGGTATGAATCTCAGTTAAGAACAGCCATGATTGAATCCATCACAGTTTGAGACACGGAGTGGTGTTGTTTCTGCTTTCGCACTGCCCAAGCTGCAGCTTCCCCAGTCAAACCCTTTTGGTAGGCACTCATAAAACACCACAAGTGATTGATGAAACAACGAAAGACCTCTAATGGGCAAGCATCGAGAAAATGCTCAGCTGCTTTCTTGGCTTCACCAAAACTGTTTTTTGGTGTCTCTCGGTGTAGAGACTCAATCCTGAGTAGCCTCACAATGGCCCATATTGCAATGTAGGTCAAGTCTATGGTACTATGCATGCAACGCGACACTAGCGTGATAAACACGACGTTCGCGCGACGCGCGCGACATAGGCGACACAAACACGACATAGGCGACACTTGCGCGACTTGCGTGCGCCTTAGGCGAACTTTCCCGCGCCTAAGCGCCCTATGGCGCCTGACTTCCCATAGCCTATTCCCATGTCCAACCAAGTTCCCAGGTGTGTATTTCTCCATTTATCATTTATCTCAACATCGTACCATGTTTATTTTACACTTACGGGACACTTTACCAACTACCACCATCATCTATCTACGAGTTTTTTACACTTTGGTCACCCCATTTCGGGTACCTCTTAGGTTATATTATACCTATAAGGGTTTTCACCTAGGAGGTGCTTTTCAAATGGTCTGGCCGATGTTTGTTGGTCTTTCCCCAAGTGCATAGGGTCCAAAATAAAATATGTTGGGCATGGTCCAAGGATCAAAATAATTTTGGGGTGGGAAAGACCACCAGCCAACATTGGACCATACATGCATGGTATTTTCCCATGGTGGAGGGGTGTCAGGGGTCCTCTTACCACCCAATTTTCTGCGCCAAAAAAATGAAAATTTTGTGGCATTTGTGGCCCCTAATATGCAAGCCAATGGGTCATATAATGTCTGTAATGACTATTAGATGTCTATAAGCTTTGAAATAGGATCAGAAAACACAAAATGATTTCATTCACTGCCCCCCCCCCCCCTTTCAGCCCAGGAATCACTCCCCTCTGAAAATGATCACACATTTACCTCGCACCGATATGTCTACAAAATCACCTACGCCTACAGAATCATCACTTGTGGATCACACTATTCAGATATTAATCCACCAATGCCTGGTCTCAGCTACTCGCCCACGCCTACAGAATCATCACTTGGGGATCGAGATATCAACCATGTGTCCGCTAATGCCTGGTCTCAGCTACTCACCCACGCCTACAGAATCATCACTTGGGGATCGCACTATTCAGATATCAACCATTTGTCCGCTAATGCCTGGTATCAGCTGCTCGCCCATGCCTACAGAATCATCACTTGGGGATCACACTATTCAGATATCAACCATGTGTCTACCAAGTAAAGCTCCCACATTTTATTGCATATTATCATTGCCACTCCCCTTTGTTGCACACACCCCCTGCTTCGTGTTCTAACAGACTCGCAAGTAAAGCTCCCACATTGTATTGCAAATTATCTTTGCCACCCCCCCGCCATTGTATGACAGACTCGCAAGTAAAGCTCCCACATTTTATTGCATATTATCTTTGCTACCCCCCCTTCGTCGCACCCCCCCCCGCCATCGTATGACAGACTTGCAAGTAAAGCTCCCACATTTTATTGCATATCCAAGTCTTTGCCACCCCCCCGCTTCATCTTCTAAACAAAATGGTCATTCATTCACTGCCCCGCCCCGCCCCCCCCCCCTAGCCCAGGATCACTCCCTCTAAAAATGATCACACATTTACCTTACACCAATATGTCTATAGAATCGCCTATGCCTACAGAATCATCACCACTTGGGGATCGCACTATTCAGATGTCAACCATGTATCTACCAATGAGGATTGGATAGCCCCGCCATCAATTATGGGATGGACCATATTCGATTAAGGGAAGGACCACCATGGATGGGATAGGCCCACAATCAGTTATGGGAAGGACCACGGAGGATGGGATAGCCCCACAATCAATTTTGGGAAGGACCAAGGTGGATGGGAAAGGCCCGCAATCAATTTTGGGAAGGACCACGGAGGATGGGATAGGCCCGCAATCACCTTTGGGAAAGACCACGGAGGATGGGATAGCCCCGTAATCAATTGCGGGAAGGACCACAGAGGATGGGAAAGGCCTGTAATCAATTATTGGAAGGACCATGGTGGATGGGATATGCCCATAATCAATTAAGGGAAGGACCATGGGCAATGGGAAAGGCCCATAATTAATTCAGGGAAGGATGCACATGGTCTCCGTATACAAGTAATTTTTGTTAAATAAATGATTAAAATAAATGATTAATTGTGACATTTGTAGTGACAGATTGGTAGGATGTTATATGTAGCGTGATTTCAAGTGTATCACAAGATGGAATTTGGAGAACTTGTCTGATTCAGCATGTAATTACAGTAACATTGTCATGATACAATCTCAATGGTATGGGGAGGGGGGGATATGGTGTACACAAGTGTGGATTAACATGACTCGATGAAATGTTGATATCAAAGGTATAGTGATGGGGGGAGGGGGGGTGAAATTTCTGTAGCAGAAGCTTACTGGGCCTTTACAAGAGTGGGGTGTGTGATATCCCCTTAGACGTCAGGAGAAGTAGATAGATCTACCTGCGCAATAATCATGCTTGGTCAATCAAAGGAAGTGAAATACAGTATGACGTGCTCACCATGACAATGTCCACATCAACATCCATAGACCACTCCAATTCATCAGCCGTCTCCGCAATAACCATGCTTTCATGCTAAGATTTACAATATTCATCAATGAACAGAAGTGGAACATAGTAAGACGTGCTCACCGCGACAATGTCTGCGTCAATGTCCATACACCACTCAAGTTTGCCAGCCTCCTGCGCAATAACTATGCTTTCGCGCTAAAAATTAACATATCGGTCAACCAAAAGCAGTGGAATATAGGAAGGCATGCTCACCAGGACAAAGTCTGCATCAACGTCCATATGAGCCTCCAATTCGTCATCCGGCTGATGAATTTCCTGTAGCAATACTGAGTGAGATTACAAGAGTAAAGGTGGGACATACCATTATGACGTCTCCATCAAAATCGAACAAGAAGTTGCTATCGACGTCCATACTCCCGATGGATTTCTCTTCAGGCTCCTGCGTTCCCTGTAGCGAAAGATGTCAAACATAAAATCGCAATAATAGATTGTACGACCCACATATGTTGCGCTTTCGATCATTTTGTATAGTTAATGTAGACGGGAGATGAAGATAATTGTTGAGGTAGAAATCAGATGTATTCACGAAGTGTAAAGCTTAAGTCCGTAAGCAAACAAACCTAGATGTGAAGTGTAACGATTAAGTCGGTAAGCAATTGAACTTAGATTTCGATCGCGATCAGACTACGCAAGGACTCAGTAGATTTCGATCGCGATCAGACTGCGCAAGGACTCAGTAATTTTGAGCATTTATCAAAATTATTGGGTTCTCGCACAACATCAATTGTTAAATAAATCGAACATAAGATGAGACCTACATGTACCTTAGGTAACTCGAAGCATATGAGATGAGATAAAGATGAGAACGCATAGGAAAAACATAAAGAAAAACATAAGGAAGCATACGACAAACATAGGAAAGGCATAAGCATAATGAGTAGACGTTACCAGAAGACGTTACCAGAAGTGGGCAGCAACAAGGGCTACAAAGTTAGTAATACTCATCTTCCTCGATGATTAGACGGCGATCAGGAGATGCTGGGCGAATACGCGGAGATCTGACAGTTGGATAATGGCGGCGCTGCGAGGATCCAGCACGGGAGGTCGGCACAACAGAGGAACCGGCACGGGAGGGCGGCACAACAGAGGAACGTGATGGCAAACGAGAACGGGAGGTGCTGACAATTTGCGATTGGGCCCGCCCTGAATGTATACGGGAACTGATACAATAAGATGACAGTTAGCAAACATACGTAGAAGTCAGGGCATAGCAACACACTTGTCATGCACCCTGACACGGTGTAGAGACTCATTCCTGGCTGGGCTTGTAGAGACTGTTTTACTACCTTTCCTATGTTCGCATTTTTGGTGCTTACATAATCATGTTATTCCTTCACCAGTTACCAGTATGAGTCCCCAGTTGTGATTAGCATATTTTCCTTCCTTTGAGCTCTGAGCCTGGTACAGAAACCCTTTAGGGTCGAACACTGTCTACTAGACAAAGCAGCTAGGCAGCAAGACCCAACATGTTCAGCTGCACCCTCAGCTGGATTGTTGAACCTTCAACGGTGCCTCTCCTCTACCGTTTCACGCTCCAAGTCTTCAGTCTCCCGAGCAGATTCATACACACCTTTCAGTCATATAGTACTGCATAACCTGTTGATAGGACATGTACATTGGCCTGCAAAACCAGGTGTACCGGACGGCGGCCGGTCTATGCACATCCTGTTAGGCCGGCTATGCAGAACATGTACAGTCCGATGCCCCAGATAGACAATGATATCTCTGCACATCCTGTTAGGCCGGCTATGCAGAACATGTACAGGCCGATGCCCCAGACCAGAAATGATATCTCTGCACATCCTGTGTAGGTCGGCTATGCAGAACATGTACAGGCCGATGCCCCAGATAGACAATGATATCTCTGCAAATCCTGTGTAGGCTGGCCATGCTGAACCCATGCAGGCTGATGCCCCAGATAGAAAATGATACATATCTCTGCACAACCTGCGTAGGCTAGTACAACACATGATATATATGATATCTCTATGTTACTTATATTAGTGAAACCAGCATATCTAAGTAGATCTCCCCAATATTGCATCCTTCAATTTTATGGAGGCTATCCTAAATGCACTAATGAAATGAGATTTCATACCGGAGTAGGTCTAGGCAACCTCATTTATGTAATAAAAGATATATTTCATATGCAATAATATAAATGGTGACTGAATATAAAACAAAAATCCAGTCTATTACACTCCTTATTAATGGCTGGCTGGTGGTCAAAGCCTTATATGAAACAAAGGTAAAGTGAATAAGCTAATTGAAGACAGAAAAGATAGACGCACCATATGTCGAGTATTTCTCTTTTCAATGTTCCCACCTTCCACAGTTGTGACCTTGGAGGATGTCAAAGCCTTTCTTCTCTAAAGCACTCTACTTCAGAAGTACTGGTGGCTCTAGAAAAATTAAGGATGACATGTGGCACTGAACCACCATTGGATTTCCTCGTGGTGTTCTTCGTGTGGACCATGTTGGATGAGCTTTCAAACTGAGATTGTAGAAAGTATTAGCACTATTGTACTTGCTACAATAAAATAAAATGAAAAACTCACCTGTCAAAAAGATACATTAGCAAAATAAAGGAAACTCACATGACAAAGAGATGCATTACCAAGAAGGTATGTTGACAAAAAAACAGAAAAATCACCTAACAAAAAGAGGCGTCAATAGAAAGATGTGTTATCAAAATAAAGCAAACTCACCTGACAAAGAGATGCGTCATCCAAAGACACATTAAGAAAAGACAGGAAAATCACCTAACAAAAAGATGTATTAATAAAATAAAGCAAACTCACCTAGCAAAAGGAAGTGTTACCCAAAAGATGTGTTAAGAAAATAAAGAACAATCACCTGACAAAAAGACATATTACCCAAAAGACATGTTAAGAAAAGAAAGGACAATCACCTAACAAAAGGACGTGTCAATAAAATAGAGCAAACTGACCTGCCAGTGACAAAGGAAAAGACACTCACATGACCATATAGAAATGTGCCTATTATAATAAGCAATGCCAAACAAAGCCATATTACAGGATTTAGTGAATTTTCGAGTTTTTGGTTAATAGGACTAGGATTACACTGAGATAATAAGCTTATATCAATAAGCTGGACCTTCACACTTTTAAAACCTTCAATTTTAAGTATTTTGCTTATAATTTACTGGGATCTTAACCTATTGATATCATTACACTCGAAAAAATCCCCACGGTCAAGTTACTTTCTTGAATCCTCCATTTTCGAGTATTTTGCTTATACCTCACTAGGATCTTAACCTATTGATGTCATGAGACTATGGGTAGACTCCCCTTGACAGGGGCTACAACTTTGGTTTTCAGCGAAAAAATTCCCACTGTCAAGTTACTTTCTTGAACCCTCCATTTTCGAGTATTTTGCTTATAACTCACTAGGATCTTAACCTATTGATGCCATTAGACTATGGATAGACTCACCTTGACAAAAACTACAACTTTGGTTGATTGAGGCGCGGGAATTTACAAACAACAACAAATAAACAAACAATACTTCAACTCTCAATATTGTTCCCACGCTTCTTCTTTCTTAACTACTACCATGACACCACTTCCTTCGCCACATCCTATTTACTCAACATCTTTTTACTTTTTTATATGTACCTGTCCTTTGGATACTTGCAGACTGCAGCTGCAAGTAGTCAAAGGAATTATTTTGAATTACTTATTGACTTTTTTACTTTTATTTTTATTTTTGGCTATCCATGTCTCCAGGGACTGGCGCCTTGAATGTTGGGATTTGGGGGATTTAGTCTGGGTGTTATGAACTTGGATGGTTCTCTCGTCACAGGCTCAGAAGAGAGCCTCGTCAGCGACGATGTCTGTGGCGAGCGGGTTCTTCCCTTCAGACAAGAAGGCGGAGTTCGTTTGGACTACCTAAAGGGCTGGCACCTTTGAGGTAGGATCAAGGGTTCGGTCTTCAAGGGCTGGCACCTTGTAAGACAGACGATAATCAGGCTATCGACGAGGAGTGCTCGAAGATAGAATCAGAGATAGACACTTAGGTTGTGAAGCCTAAGCGAGGATCAAGTGCGGTTTAAACCAAGTAGACTTCTAGAGGGCTGGTACCTCTGAGACAGGATACAAGGGTCGAAAACCAAGTAGATTAAAGTGCAGAATAACTACGATACATGACGAGTATATATAGGGGAAATGGAATAGCTTTAGGGGAGGTCGTCAGGTATCAGTAAGTCCGAGAAAGGTAGGCAGTAGCCAGATATAGTACAAGGCAACGCAGCCGCATGTCCATGGGTTAAGGGTATGAGTCGAAGGGAGTCAGAGATAACCCGGATCAAAGGTATGAGTCAAAGGGAGTCAGAGATAAGACGAACCGAGTCAATGGTAAGGCATAATGGAGCCGAGGCTCTACGGGTACAAGGCAACGCGGCCCTCGTCAATCTCTCGCTACACCAGAGGTTCAGCGATGAGCACCACAGGTAAGTATACAAAACACGACACACCTCCAAGGAACGTATGTCCATTGCGTGCAAGGTAGGCCTGAGCGCATGTCTCATCAATTAGATCTATCGCCGAGTCTGGCAGTCTTGAGTTGGATTAGACAAGTCACAGATGAGACAACAACGACGGAAGAGTAGACGGGAGGGAGATATGGTTCTAGGAGAGCGTCAAATAAAGCGTCAGAGTGGGTATGAGAGAGATTCCAATCATCCTCTGCGTGCAATATCAATATTGGTACCTTGAGTTTCTGGACGCAAATTGGTGAGGTGCTAGATAACCTAGGAACAGAACATTTACATACTGATATCGCCGATAGAGTCAAACGTGCCACAGCCTCTGAAATGTGCAATTCTGCAGCAGATGGAGGCAGGGGAAAGGACAAGTCGTGATATATGGTACCTGAGAGAATGAACCATGCACCGAGAGTGTGATTGTCTGCGGTCTGAATCTTGATGTTTGCCGTTTTCCCAGCTAACGTATCTGCAGTCAATCCAATGAGTTCGAAAGAAATGGACGCGATGCAGTAAAACGTACGTGCAAGACCATGCCTTTCCGGTGCATCAAAATGTGCGTTCCAAGGTAGCTTCAAGGTGTTCATGCACATAAAGCTTACAAGGTTTGTCAACTCCGCTACGAGATCCTCACGTCCATAAAACATGGAGGGACGTGACGGGGGCACTGGTGGATGATACCTGATTGCCTTCAGAGGATACACAACGCTTGCTAAGATGTTAACTTACCTTTCGACATTCCCATGAACATTGTCCTTGAGTCCCAAGGTCCGCACGTTCATTCCAATCGTGAGACCAACGAGCATCTCAGCCTTAAAACATTATCCAGTAACCGTAGCTCTAAAGGAGTTCCAAAAACATACACTGAATAGTGGGATGACACGATCCAAGTCTTTTTCCCATCCGGCAATGCGGTCGCGATCACTCGTGACAGACAGGAGCCTCTGCCAAAATCCTTGCTCCTTTTTTGAGGCTACTTCACTATTGATATGGTTTACTGATCTGCACGGCACCATCAGTTTGTAGCAGAGGTGATTTTGGTTCGGCTCACTTGTTCAACTGGGATAAGGCATGGCCCAAGTATCCTCGCAGATCATCGTCGGTGGCATGCTTGGTCGCTCTTTCAAGGATTTCCCTGATAGTCTCGCACTTGTCGACTATTGCCTGGAAATCGGACTTATTCTTGATCACTGACTGTACAAACCTCAGGATCCTTCACGAACATTTTCAAATGCTACGTCAACGCACCTGCGCAATGATCAGGATATTTGCGACCGTTCCGAGGATGCCTTTCGCCAGATCGATGGGTACGAGGTCTTTCGTGATATTGATTGCCATTATAGAGACATCCAACAGCTGCATCACATTGTCGTCCTGCAGCGACTCCTTGCTTTCAGAAGAGGGCTCCTTGACGTTTGGGCCATTCTATGTCAGATCAAACATACGGCGCTGACGCTGAGCTTTGTGTCTTCTTGCCTTTGCCTTTTTAGAACTTTTGGTTTTCGGCTTCATCACCTGCCAGTGGACGCGTGTGGTGGATTCCGAGTCTCAGTCATGCAGTGAAATGCCCCCGCCTGCTTCAAGTCACTGGAGGGTGAGAAACTGCACAGCATACATGATAACTCACCGGCGTCTATCATGGGGTCTAGATCTCAACTTTTGAGAGTTGTTCGAGAGGGCCAAAATAAAAGATTTCCGTCACATCATGTGATACTACTAGACGCGCGTGTCACATCGAGTTGTGACAGCAATTTCAACTCGCTACAATCTTCATCGACGCCGGGTAGCACCATCTCAACTTGAACTTTGAGAATCCATTCATATTCTCAAATCTCGTACCATTAACTGAGTTTATTGTTCTCGTGGGCAATCTGATAGCCATATGTGCTTTGCCTATTTTCCCGCCACCTCCATGTCTGGCAGAGTTCCTGAGTTCCGACGAACGCGATTTATTCCATCCCATTCGAATGCTACACCGATCGACCAGACTTCTAGGTTTGACGCGAGGCCGATGCACCGAGGCCCTCCCAAGTATTTGCAGTGGTGAACCAACACTGCAAATATGAATTTGGATAATATATTCTACGAAAACTGTGTGCCCGTTCGACCAGTTTAGGCTGGAGGATCGTCGACGACTTAAGGGTGCAGACGAGCTGATGCGATTCAGGGTATAAGACCTACATGACGCGTGCGAGAATGAACGAGAAGGTGAGACGAATGAATTGTGCGAGGGCATGTAGGAAATGGCCGGTCTGTGACAACCTGTCCCCCAGACTTTAACACGGAGTCTGTGACTTGTCTGTATAGACCTCACACAGACTGACCAAATCCCGCACTTTCTGGACTCGATAGAGTCAAAGTCAAGTCCAAGGAGGCGGAAATAGACAAGCAAATCGCACACAATCACCGCGGCCCGTTGTAGAAACAACAATACTACTAGGAATAAATGATGCTCCTGGCAGTATCTATAAATGTTGATAGGTCGCGCGTTGCCTAGTCTGCGTTGCTTGAGGAGACAAGTGCGTTCGACCCTAAAGGGGAGGTGAGTACAGCAAAGATCTAGAGGTATGCGCGGCAACGCGAAGCGCGAGAAAGCGCAAGTGCGCGCAAGGTACGAAGGCGCGGGAACGCGCGCGCGTATTAGCGCGAAGCGCGGGAAAGCGCGCGCGTGTAAGCGGAAATAAAAGAGACTAAGCTTAAGTGATGATATAAAGCAATATAAGAAAAGATAGATGCAAAGTGTAGACCAATAGACTTCTACTATGTACTGCTAAGTAAATAGTGGGTGATAACTAGTAAGTTCAAGGGAAAAGTAAGGTGTGAAAGGTAAGTAAGTAATAGTATGTACTGCTGGCGCTTATATAGCGCGCCTAAGCGCGGTCATGCGGAGCCGAAGCGCTACCGAGTAGGTATGTAAAGATATATATAAGTGAGAATTCATGATAAAAATAAAGGTGGAATGATATGCTAATAAAAGAAATGGAAATATACGCACTAGAGGGCTTGGTGGACAGTGGATGGATGCTTCTGGATGGCTGGCGCTATAGGGCACGCAAGCGCGGGAACGCGCGCGCGCGTATACATCGCGAAGCGCAGGAATGGTGCGCGCCATGCGCGCATTGCGCGGGAAAGCTGCGCCTCATATAGGAATTGCTGTGGACAGTACACAGAGTGGTGCTGCGAGTTGGTGCTGTATACTCCCTTAGTGGAAACTGCCATATCACGCCATGAGAGGCATGAGTCTCTACACCGTTGTAGCCAGACGATTCCTTTGTTTTCCCCAGCCACCCGAAGCCAGTAGCAGCACCTATGTATCCTCATCGAACCACAACGGTGGTACAAAATTCTATACAAGTGAGTCAAACGAGTTTTGAATTTGGCATGAGCTACCTGTGTTTTTGTGAAACTAAAAACAGGATGCACTCTTAACAACATCTCAGACGTGCTTATGAAGTGCTAACATTTGGCATAGATTGTGAGCAGCGCTCCTTGCTTACAGTGTAGACAATAAGGAGTACAACTTGTAGTACAAGTAAGACCTGAGATCCTGAGTACGCAAATAACATGTAGTAGAGAGAAAACATGGCTGTAGATATCCCCTTCCCCTTGAAACCCAAACACGATCGATGAATTCTCAGACGGAAAAACCACTATGGACAGTAGTGCAAGTAAGAGCCAAGAGCACGCGAACAACTTTAGTTTGACATCATAGCTGCGAGCTATGAATTGAGGTTTATTTCAGCTGATATAGAAGAGATCGGTGGTTTTGCTCACCTTGAGAGGCTACATAGTATCATGGTATGACACAGGTGCAGTCCAGAAAGTGTCCTCGTCATCTTCTTCTGCTAACGAGCCACACGTTGACTTCTCAGAGAAGTTCACATAAGATTCCTGTGCGAACGACTCGGACATGGGCATTTGTAAAGCCGACTGGTCGTAGAAAGGCTGCACCTCAGAGTAGTGCACAAGTGCAGACCCGCTAGGGACGGAAGACCCTGAGTAAGAGACGGTTGACGGCCACGCTGAGAACGAGTTTGTTTGCTGGTCGTGCTGGCAGAACTGTGAGTACGAGTCAGGGGCAGTATCGTGGGGGGTGGTGGGATTTTCTGGCTCATGTGGTAGAGCCAGTTCTTCCAGTGACATAGGAACAGAGATCGAAGCGGGTGATGTAAGACCCAATCTCTCATTTAAGATTTTCCTGCAGATACATGAGCGTGGAACCTATCGGACGGTTGAAACCACTCACATTCCCTTGTTATGCAAGTATTGAAAAAAATTTGTCATTACCTCCCAATGAACCTCAGTCTGAAGGGTAGCTTTCATTTGCCTTTGTATCCAATTCTGCTTGTCGGCATACAATTTACCGGTAAACCGTAGGACGTCCCCGGACTTGGAAAGGCGTCCTTCAACATACCGATCTATGGCTCCCATGACCTGAAAATAAATGCAGAACTGTTAGCACATGCAAATAAGAATATGATAGGTCTCTTACCCCAACCGCCGACATCGATAACATAGGAATGGTCGTCGTCGTGAGTATCGGCCTTAATGTATCATCAAAAAGAGGCGAGGACTCGTCGGTATACCACTGTTTGAGGTGTACGTCTTGCAAGGCAGGATGAGAAAACATGGAGAGCTGGCCAGACTTGTGACCATGTAAAAAATATGTATGATGATCGTCTGAGTTATAGATGGCTTTTCTACGCGCCACCATATATTTTTGGCGATCCTCAGCAGACAGTGTCTTGTCTTCGGGCTCGAGGTCGTCAATGTAATAAGGTAGGGACTCTTTTTCAGCGTTTTCGATAAGTTTTGAGTGGCTGTTTGTCAAGCCATGGATCACGAGGGTCGTGACGGAAGACGTCGTGTTTAACCCTAGTGGAAAATCAGCACGTGCGACAGAGTTACGGTAGTACTACATGGTGCTTAGCACATACCATGGCAGTCGAGTGACGCTTTCACCTCATTGACAACTTCTCTAGCATACGAGTGCATGGCCAGTTTCTGCTTCCTCGTACTATTTTTCTTCCAACCGTTAATCGTGATCATGTCCATGATAACCCGCCTGCGCACGCTGTTGATTACTTCGATCTCTTCTGGTGAGTAGTCGGATAATTTCGGAGGTTCAGCGTGCCTTGTGGAAGTAGTGTCAGATTGGCATACAGCGCTTTCCAGGTCTTCTAGTGACATCAGAGGATTCAAGGAAATATGGGGTACATTTGGTATCATGATGGATCGAAAGTCGCGATACGGATGCAGACGCTGCGTGGTATCTCGTTCTGTTCGCTGTCTGCTGCTCATATTGTCAGCTGCGAGGTGATAGGATATGCTGCGGGAGTCAACTGAGGGTAATTCCACGATCGTGGTGGAGGAAAAGTGAAAGTTTCAGTCAACTAAATAGACACACGAAAGAACCATACTTTTATTTTATTTTATTTTTTTAAAGTTCAATTGGGGAGGAATCGAAGTTGAGCCACCAGCGTGATCAACTAAGTGCTAGTGTAAACTTTATCAGAACACAGTTCCGACTATCATAGGGGAGACAATATGAACTTACCATATTGTTGGATGCGTGCAGTTATCGGGGGAGATTCCATCTTTTGGTACGATGCACTGCTAGGTGCCGCCAGCGGTAGGTAAGTTAAAGTTCAATTGAACCCTAACGGTCACCGAGCCAGTCTGGTCACGGTGATTACAATGTGAATTGGAAGTGTTCTACGCGTTATATGTAAAATTTTGGCACGAGGGGCGGCTGCATGAGTCACAATCCTCGTAACAGTAATATTATGATCATGATTACCTTCCATTTGTGCCCTCTGATCTTAAGAGAGTCATACGACTGCGTGATCATCTAGCCGCTCTACCGCAGCCTGAGTATATTTCCGAGTGGAAGGACAACCTGTTAATTGCAAAATTCAGTCATATTGTGGCACAAGAGGCAGCCACATGAGTCACTCAGGCTATCCTCCGAGACGGTAATCATATTTACCTTCAATATGTGCCCTCTGATCTTGAGAGTCATATGACTGCGTGATCATGACAGGCGCTTGGGTTTGGGGTAATTCTCCAGTAATTGAAGTTCGAAGCCGCCTGCTGTAATTTTAATTGATAGCACGTCCGAGTTATCACTGGAAGGAAGACTCACTCAGGCTATCTTGCGGCAAGTAGGGCAGGTTTCATGAACTGACCATGCTGTTAGATGTGTAATTGTGGAGAATTCAGATTTTTTGGGCACTCAGGTCACGGTGACGCTTCGGAGAAAGGTGATGATGGCGCGGCGATTGAGTCATAGCCACGGTCGGACTCTTCCGAAGTCTGCGGCGAACTTGAAGCCATCAATCTCAATTGAATCGAAAAATCTGGGGCTTCAAGTTGATCACCTGGCTGTGATACTACGCAATCTTATCTTAGGCTCCGGAACAGGAAGAAAAGAACATTCAAGTAAAGCTGCTGGCATGTTTACTTTGCAAGGTACAAAAGTACAACAACGTTGTATACTATGGACAAATGGAACAACGGCGTAACACCATAAAAGTACGATAGCTAAGCAGAATAGTAAGCCCCCTGCAAAAGAGTTATGTCCGACATAGGGTCTTCGACCCCAAAGGACAATAAATATGATTTTTTAAACCAAAAAAAAATACCATAGAATTATTCGTCCAACTCTGAACAGCTTGCATCAGATCCAGAACCAAGCATGTGTATGGATTCGTTGTCAGAAGCATCACTGGACTGATGGAGTTCATGGTCACCAGGGTCGAACCCATACTCCATGTTCCCTATCGCCACCACTCCCCCCTCGCGAAGCATGTTTCGGATTGTTCCTATTTGGAAATCGATTGTCTTCAATTCCGTTGTCGTTATCTCGGTTTCATCATCGTGGATAGACTTCATAAGGTCTAGTTCGTGAGCGCGTAGGCGTTGGTATCTGAGGCGAGTGGCAATAACCCGGCGACTAACACGGGAAAGCTCGAGCATGCGCTCGTTGAGATAGTTCAAGGTCTCGGAACCTGGAACACAGGGGGAACTCCACTTTAAATTATGAGCGTTGGACTTGAGTGTATCGTTGAGGTTGTGACATACGGTTGTTTTCAACATTCTCGCTCTCTTTGAAGGCAAGTCAAGCTCGTTGTCGCATTGGTATGTTGTATAATGAAAGCGGGAGCGCTTCACTCCAGAAACACCAATGATAGAATTGGTCTTCGTGTGCGAATCATTTTTCATAGGAGAGCTGCAAGGCATAACTGATGAGGGAGGTGTGGATGGTGGAGTGGTCTGGAAATGTCTGCAATGTTGATATTGTAAATAGACCTTCGAGGCAGTGGAAAGTTGAACAAACAGACCGAGGCTGATTGGTAGCTATCAAAATATTGGCGCTCGTCGTTGAATCCGTAGAACTGCTCGTCGTCAGTTCTGGCATGGTGAGTAAAGTGGAGACGTTACTAATATCCGGACAAGATGTAATAGAAGGCTGTACTATCCCTTACGGTCACTTCGTGAGCCGCAACTCCGTGAGTCATGCAGATGTCACATATAGTCACTGACGGTCACTCTGGCCAAATTCAGAGTCCGCTCGGCGTGCTCGACAACATCAAAACTCGAATTTACCATGCAATTATTAGATGCTACTAATACTATGTCGCGAGTTACAGTATGTCCGAATTATATGGATTTGTATGTGTATAGCAGTGATTAATGTTAAGGGGGATATTGTTGAGTGAAATATGGATGTGGGTACTGATACATGGGGGAATTGTGACTTGGAGCAGGCCACTGTCTAGAAATATATGATGGGTGTGAAGGATGCATAAAAATAGTGATGACAAGATCGTTTTAGCTCAAGAAAATGTTCAATCAAATTGAGATCTACCGCGGTGTATCAGGCTTCCATTGGGACAATGTTCGTGGGGCTGGGATTGAGGGAGTTGCTGCTGCGAGCGTCTGGGATGCATATGTGGCCCCAAAGGTATGTCATTATGATAAAATATACTGCGACACTATCAACTGATATCAAGTTAGTCCCGAATTGCAATGTGCCCCTTTCGCAACAAAGGATGGCCTCCGTACAACGACATGCAGGCCATCTTGGGCGAAAACAGCGGTGCTCGTGGACACCACTCCTTCCACCCTGCTACTGCAGCCCCCGCCTCTATCGCTGTAGACGATGTACTCAATGGTCCAGATGGAGCCCTTGATCTTCTCAACATGGACGTAGGGGGCAGCATCTCTGGCACCGCTCCTGGTGGCTCCCAGTCGAGTAAGCGCCTGCGCACAAACACTTTGCCCGACTCTCTTGAGACCGCATCATACAATTCTGGTGACATGTCCTGTCATCCTAATAGTCACGAGTCACCATCCCTCCCACTTTCAGCAACGCTAGTAGTACCATCATCCCAGGTACCTGCCTTCAAGAAGGCTTGAGTCTTGACGCATGCCAGCAGCACACACACGGGCGTGAACAGTGCTGCCAAGATCGCCGCAAAGATCACTCCAGTGGCTGCAGTGATGAATATGCAAGGTAGTATTAATCGCCTGACTGACGCGATCGAGAGAAACATGGCCCCTCTGCCTGACCCATCAGCTCCCCTGCCAGCTCCTGTCGTACCAACCATGATCTCCCATGGCCTGGCAATGATGCGCAGTGTAGATGGGGATCTGTCGGTTGATCAAAGAGCCAGCCTCCTGCGGATATTTTCCCGTGCAGGAGGGGATAACAATCTTGCTGTTTATGTTGGGCTGAACTCGGATGATGACTTTGATGTGCGCCGTGCATTTATCTCACAACTCCTTGATGAGTCTATGTAGAACTGTCCCACTACTTGTCTTACTGCTTGTCACATTTCTTGTACTAACATGTAGTATGCATTTCATGTACTGCGCGTCCCATACCTACAATGATCATGGATTTTCTGAGTCTCTGCTAGTGGGAACGGATCAGGAGTAGATGGTTGAGGTTGCCGCTCCTGATGAGAAGGAATGGATCAGGAGTAGATGGTTGAGGTTGCTGCTCCTGACGAGGAGGAATGGATCAGGAGTAGATGGTTGAGGTTGCCGCTGCTGATGAGAAGGAACGGATCGAGAGTAGATGGTTGAGGTTGCTGCTCCTGACGAGGAGGAACGGATCAGGAGTAGATGGTTGAGGTTGCCGCTGCTGACGAGGAGGAACGGATCAGGAGTAGATGGTTGAGGTTGCCGCTCCTGACAAGGAGGAACGGATCAGGAGTAGATGGTTGAGGTTGCTGCTCCTGACGAGGAGGAACGGATCAGGAGTAGATGGTTGAGGTTGCTGCTCCTGACGAGGAGGAACGGATCAGGAGTAGATGGTTGAGGTTGCCGCTCCTGACAAGGAGGAACGGATCAGGAGTAGATGGTTGAGGTTGCTGCTCCTGACGAGGAGGAACGGATCAGGAGTAGATGGTTGAGGTTGCCGCTGCTCGTCATTTAGCTCACTTACAACATACGTACATAACATTGTAAAAGTACAACTACATACTACTAGTAAGAATTAAACCAGTCCATCCTCCTCGTCCTCCGAGATACCTTGGTCTGAAAAATTGTCGTCATTGTCGTCTCCAAGAGTGTGTCTTTCCTGCAAAATGCGCTGATAATCCACCCACATCGCTTCGGCAATGCGATCACGCATCAAATGCAGATCATTGCATGCAGCTGGATGCTCTTCTCCCACCCCCTGCTCCCAGTTGGCGGCATGCGCATCACCAAGGGAATAGTCTGCATCAGGTAGCCTGCCTTCTGCAGGATCGTGTGAGTGAATGAAGTTGTGGAGGCTGCACAACGCAGCCGGAATCTGTGCTTGAATGTCCATAGCATATGGTGGGGATAGAAGGAGGATACGGAAACGGCGTTTGAGGACACCAAAAATCTGCTCAATGACATTTCGAGCAGATGCGTGATGGAGGTTGAAGAGCTCTTCTTTGCTAGTTGGCCTGTAAAAAGAAATCAGTGTGTAGCACAAAGCAAAATGCCGCTATACTCACCTTACACTTGCACGCCCCCATTCTGCAAGGTGGTAGCGCACGTTACGGTAAGGAATGAGTAACTCAGGCCGCAGAGGGAAACCTGCATCTGCAAGGAAGTATTTTCCTGCAGGGATGCGGAGGTCGTGGCCCTCAGCAGCCTCGTAGACACGTGCATCTGTAGCCGACCCCTCCCAGCCAGTGAGTGCATACACAAAATTAAGTTCAAAATCACAAGCGAAGAGACAATTTTGTGAAACGAATCCCTTTCGATTACGATAGGGACCTCGTTCAAATGCATGAGGTGACGCGTGGATGTGGCTCCCATCAATGGCTCCAACAGTATCCTTGAAGAACGGATAGAATTTGGGGTTATGGCGAATTTTGGCAGGGATGGAGGCATCTGGCAACTGAACATGTTTTGTATAGAAGGGGGAGGATGCGAATATATTGAGCATTTTGCGAAAATAACTGTAGAACGTACAATGAGATATCAAAACTATTAGCTTAGTGCACACTTACCGAGAAATCGTATCATTTGAGCGCTGGAATCTTTCTCCAACATGTCTGATCGACAATCCCGTGACCGACGTATATAGGAAAATGGCGAGTTGTTCCTCTAACGAAACAAACTTGGAGTCAGCGTGTCCAAGGGTACGAAGTTCGGATATGAGCCCCTCAAAGACATGCGCATGGACACCAAGTTCACACCGGATTCGTTCTGGATGACCGGACAACAGTTCCATGACCCAGGATTCACCTGAGAGCGCCGAGGTGTGGTAAGGTTCAGGATCCTTTGCATACAGTGATTCCAGGATATTTGCGGTAGCGCAGATTAGAATACTAGCGACAAGAATTGAATGTTTGATTAGGCGGCGTCGAGCTTCTGGCTGTTGGGGCAGGTAACACGGGAATTCTGATTGAAGATCCATGGTTGGAGGACATAGATCGAGGAGAAGGTATGTATCGTATAGATAAGAGCATGATGTAGGGATTGGTAATTTAAGCTCCGACATTCGGCAAATCCAAAGCCGAGAGCTCTCACCTCAAAGTTTGCCAAACCTCGGTCAACATCTTGTTGCCGAACTGACTCTTAAGGGCTGTGACCTGTGACGAACCTAGTGTCGTATCTCTACAGTAGTATGGTACACTAATTGTATGTACACGGTCCATGTGTTTGTAAGCACGGACTTGTCTTTGGTCCGCGCTACTGCTGACAAACAGTGTCCGTTTCGGACATTACCGGTCATTCGGTATTCCCTATGTTAGTCCTTGTTTATGTACCTATTCTACTTCTGTGCTAGACGCTCGTACTATGACCACATGATGCCATCCGAATCAGAGTCATCGCACCCAGTACTTCTTTATGTCCATCCCACCAGATAACAATGGTTTTTTTGCACAGCTTAGGAGGGTTTTTGCGGTCTTCGGGTTTCTATTGGGGCAGTCATACTTCTCGCAGTGCCCTGGGTCCAGTCTCAGTAAGTCCAATCTTCACGACTCATCCAAAAGCCCAAAATCAAGAAAATCCAAAGAATCGAAGGTAAGAAGGAACATCTTTGGCCGTCACTGTTTGATCTGACATCATGATAGAACAACCCACATACTAAACAACCCTCTTCTGAGTCCCAGGCCGAGAATATGAGCCGACTGCTGGATGTCACTATAGCAGGCATCAGTGCCATACAAACCATCGTACCTAGTGACCTGGCGAAAGGTGTACTCGGAACAGTCGCCAGTATTCTGATGACTGTGCAGGTGCGTCGGTGTCACTCTCGAAAATGAGTTTAAAAGATCCTTACGTCCGTGCAGTCGGCGATCAAGAACAAGTCCGATTTCCGAACGATAGTCAAGAAATGTGAAACCATCGGGGAAATCCTCAAGAGAGCAACCAAGGACACTACCGACGACAATCTTCCAGGATACTTGGCCCATGCTTTATCGGAGCTTAACTCGTAGGCAAACCAAATTTCACTGTCGCTAGAAACTGACAACGCTAAGCAGGTTAGTTGACGATATCAATAATAAGGTAGTCTCAAGGAAGAAGCAAGGATTGTTCAAGAGGTTCTTCTCTGTCACGATTGATCGCGACCAGATTGCTAGTTGGGAAAAGGACATAGACAGTGCCCTCAAACTCTTCGATGTACGTCTCTGTGACTCGACCTGAACTTCTGTTGCTGAATGACATCTCAAGACTGAAGTGCTCGTTGGCATTGCCATGACGGTGGAAGAGATCCCTGGCATTGCCATGAGGTTGGATGAGCTCGCTTTGCGAATCGACGGCAATTCAACCAGTGTCAATGTTCTAAAGTGAGTTATCATGTTCTGCGGGTTGTGGGTGTCCTCTAAATACAGCCAGGTATCAACCAATTGAGCCTCCATCACGACCTCCCATGTTTTATGGCCGCGATGATCTCATGGCGGAGTTACGACCCTCATTGTCAATGGTGAACACATTGCATTGACCAGTCCGGGAGGCATGGGAAAGAGTTCTCTTGCCCAAGCCATCCTTCACGAGCCACTTATCATCGAAAAATTTGCTGATCGGCGTTTCTTTGTGGCTTGCGATGATCTAGATCATTCGACTATCACATTCAAAACTTTCATGACTCATTTCGCGGGAGCCCTTGGCATAGAGATCACTGGCGCTGATCCTTTGCGCCCAATATCTACCTTTCTTCATTCCGCTAGTGTCCTTGTCGTCCTCGATAATGCTGAGACCTTCGAAGAGGCCAGTGAGTTGTCAGCGCTCGAAAAAATACCACCGGCAATCGCGAAGATTGCAAGCATCCGTGGTGTCGTCCTGATCCTCACGTCACGCAGTCGAAAGAATGCAACAGGTGTGTCATGGAGACTGATGGATATTCCGCCATTGGACTTGATTTCTGCAGAAAAGGTGTTTTTTCAAACTTATCCTCGCGCCCGTTGCAGCGATGCTGAGGAAGAAATAAAGAACCTACTCAGGGAATTGGATTTTCACCCCCTTTCCATTAATTTACTCGCGCACACGGCCCAGCAATGTGACTGGTCTCCAGCCACACTACTGCAGAGATGGAACAATCGGCACAGTGCCGTGCTCAACCCCGGCAAGGGAAAGCTGCAAAGCTTTTCAAACACCATGCAGCTGTCACTCGACTCACCATCTATCCAAGCCATGCCCAAGTATGTTCTAATTTCAAAACGCTGTTTGAGATAAACTCACCCCTAGTACTCTTCTAGTGTAGCATCTCATTCCATATCCCCTACTGTGCAGTGTTGTAGACGTCCGATGCTCCAATACTGGTCTATCAGGAGGGTTGTTCTCATACACCGTTATTTTCCACTTCTTCTGCAAATCAAATACTGTCTCTAGCTGTGATTGCTACGAAGCGATCGTTAAATTAAATTTCTCCGGATCTTCTCTTAATGAACCGTCTAGTCCGACGGACATTTCGGCTATCATTATGATGTACGCCGTCAGCAAATTCATCTCCCTCAAACTTAAACTGACCAATGATTCACATGGCGACTCGGGAAGTTTAAAGGACGTTAGAGAATTCGTAAGCCTGCTAGTCAATGTCTAAGCGGTTCTCAGCAGTTCTAAGCGGTATTTTGCCGACTATGCTCAAACTTAGACTAGTGGACCTGCCCAGCAGCATATAAAAGTGTTAGTTCCTTCTCCTCTGAATCGTCCGACTTGCACCTCCCCTTGTTCCTTGCCTCTACAGTTGGAACACATTTGTCCTCTTCTCCCCTTCTCTAGTCTGCCTGTATGTCGCACACCGAGGGCAGCACGTCGTGTATTGAAAACCGACAACATGACGACAGCCTTCCTCAATCTCAGACTACATCAGAATCATCCCAGACATTCGTGCAGGCTCGACAAAGACGCAGAATTGCCGAACTGGAGGATAAGTTGATGGCTCTCGAGTCTGGGCGTGCTGTAAAAGATAGGTATGGACGCCATGCGTCACGTTGAGCTGCCTTTACTCACTATCCACCAGGCAAGTGAACTACTATATGTCTCAAGGAAGAGCCTTCAGGCGCGTTGTCGCTTTGTTCGACAACATTGAGGATCTCGTCGCCGAAAACGACAGGAGATACGATGCTGAGGATGAGGAGACCTCTGTCGAGTAAGTTTTTCCTTCCTTGGTATGCCACGGTAAGCACACTCATGGGTTTGTTTACACAGTCAAGATCGACTACATGTAGGGTACGTCACCCTAATGAACACCTTTCCGTGGCTCTATAAGAAGTGTTCAGATATGGATTATGATGACTATATACGCATGTTAAAATCGGTATGTTTTATCGGTTTCAGTGATGGGCTTTGTCGTCTTAAGTCCTTGTTTAGCTTAGGCAGGGGGCTGACAGTGCTTGAGGCAATGATACCTCCAAGCTGAAGACACTCGTTTCTGAATGGGTCAACCGCGAATTCAAACCGAATCCCCCGGTCGACATGGACGATAAACATACCCGCGGATTTATCAACGATGCGTGCGGCAAGTTGCTGTGTCCGACTGAGCTTGATTGGAACAGCCCAGCGTAAGTATTGCGCTCAGGATTCCGAACACCATTAACTATCTATCAGTGTACGGGCAGGCATTCGAGATCGCGCAGAGGGATATATTGTCACAGATCTTTCTTTTCCAGCTTACTTATATGAAAAGTACACCGCCAATTCGGACAATTTGGAGGAGGGACTTTTCAAAGGGAAAATTCTGATTCAGGTTTGTCGAAGCGAACTCGTAAATACAGCTGACAATGATCTTTGCTATTTCTCAGAGCTACAAAGCTGTCTTCACGTCTCCCTCATCAGCAAAGGATGTCGAAGGCGACGGTGATGGTGCAGATGTCATCGAAAATAACAGACGCGCTAAGAAGACTACCTCAACAATCAAGGTGAAGAAGCATGTCGCGCAAATTATCAAGATGGACAAAGTCAGTCCTCGCTCGATTGCATATATTGCCTGTCAAGTAAGTGATAGAACTTTGTCTGCTCGCCACACCGTTGATCAATGACAATCGCATTTGCAGGTACGATTCGCACTCTCATCTATTACCTCGTGGCGGTCTGTCGATGGTGATTTTGACTATGTACAATTTTGGCAGACCATTGTCGACTTCTTCGAAAGGCCTCCTGGTCGGGACGCACAGCGCAGGGTCACCAGACTGCTCGAATGGTGGACCAGGTGAGTATATACATCGTCAACAAGCCCCAACTGATTTCTGTTGTCCAGGAAAGTTTTCGGAAGGAGTCGCCGTGCAGACCTTACTGACGACGCGAGAGCCAAGATGTCCGTGAACACTCTAGCAAGGCAGAGGGCACAGATTGATGATGCCGCCTTCGACTCAGACTAGAGATTCGACATTATCTCAACCCCTAGTAGCTTTATTACCATCGTAGTAGCTTTATTACCATCGTAATTTGTTGTCAATGTCATGACTTGATAATACTTCCCCAGTGGTGTGAAATACAAGCTGTGTATCGCACTACCGCCATGACACGGCAGCAAATGACTCGGAGGACTTACCAACATCATCGATGATTAGAATGAACTCCAGATATCATCATTCAAGCTACAGTTCCTGGATGTGCCTGGTTTGTTTTAATAAGCTGAGTCCAAAAAATATAGCGCGATCACAGAGGTCTCTGTATTTTCTAGTCTTCATGCCAATTGCTAGACAGAAGTATGGATTTCAAGGATAGAACCAATTGAATACCATATCTAAATTAAAACCTCACTGAAGACACTCTAGATAGTCGGCTGATTCTGTGTATTTGCAAACTCTTCATAGTGTTTTCTTTCCTTTCCAGAAGTCAATGTAAATACCTGATGTTATCCCGCATCAACATTGTCATTTGATCGAGAAGATGAATCACCGAGGTTTCAAATGCACATGTGCGCAATACCCCCACAGGGCACAATAGTATCAATGCATGGCACAACATACAATTTGTCTTGTCGAATGGCAAGTGGAGTATCGATGGGAGCCATGATCCCCCTCTGTCAATTTCCGAGTTAATGTACTATGTTAAATCACACTGCTACATGGCGTAATAGATGAGATGCTCATTGAATTGTCGCGGGTGAATACAACTGGCAGTTGTTACAAACTCGGAAAATGTTGCGCGAGGATTCGAAGCCAGCCACAAATTTATTCTCGCCTGCTTCATGAACAAATCCCAGCTACTATGCAAAGGTGAAGCATATTCGCACAGATTCGCAACTGATATACCACTGCCAACCATTAGCTATCCAAAGAAGGTCGCCTTGCGACTTGAGCCATGATACAAATTGATTGTCGCCCACTTGTTGAACATAACTGGCTAGTGGGCAAAGGTATAGCATTTTCACACGCATTCCAAATTGATGCATAGCATTACAAACATTAGACATATATATAAAAATAGTGTTCAAAGTCGCAGTACGATGTAATATTTTGTGTCGCATGCTTGGGTGAGTATATCCTCGTAGTCAGGAAGATGTGGGCTTTCGATTACATGGAAAATTGTCATGGAGGTGACGGGAAATCGGCTTGTCAACAAAACATATCGAGTTTTAACTCCGGACGTACATGCATGTCCCCTGCTGAGGTTAACACATCCTCGTGCTCTTGAAAAATGTGGGCCTTCAGTCTTAGCTTGGATATTGCGAACCTTACCAGTGATGTGACAGTTTTGATTCATGTAGGTCAACCATTAGCTCTTGTTCCGCCTTCCCCTCAATTCTTAGTTTGAGCGATGTTGGGACAGTTTCCTGATCTTAAAGTTTTATCGCGAAATCAAGCAAACTTCTTTCCTGTACAAGGGCAAATATGATAATGTGATCCTCGATAACACGATTATGTTAATTATTGTGACTGTGTACTATATATCGTGATGTATGGCCTTCTACTTTCTTTGCCGGTTCACTGATGTACTACTTAGTAGCACTTGCGGGTTTGACATGTTTAAATCCATGCGACTCCACGTTTTCTACTGTCCGGCAAGCGCGTCAGAACTACGGAAACTCACGGAATCGGCTGTCGACGAACATCCTGGCAATGATCTAGCTATGATTCCTTGATGATTTAGATCCCGAACCCAACCGCCGTTATAACTAGTTGCCTTTGCAAACAAAATTGAGGTCCGTAACAAGTTCCAACCACGATCATATGTTACCTTACACGATACGCGCAATATTCAAATTCCCTTCCTTCATACGCTGGCATGCATCCAGTAGCTCCGCGCCCTCCGCAAGAAATGAAGCTTATTGATAGATAAGCTTGTATCGACTTGGTACGATCCAGTGACTACCAAGTTGGACAAGATTTCATATCGTCATGTTTGAAAAAAATGAAACTTTATAATTTGTCCTGACCAATGATCATGAAGAGAGGACTTACAAATCTCGTATCAACTGTCGTTGTCAGTGCGCACATAGTGAGGCAGCATGATTATGTTGAAAGTGGGCGGCCGAGACCTCTTTACCTTCGTTGCAAGTGGTACACTGCTCACAGACATCAATTCCAATGGCGGCGATGTACGTCCCAAAATAAGGTCTCTTGACGCTGTGGAGGCACTTAGACTCGTTCTGCATCACTTATCTGAACTCTATCGTGACTATGCGCGCAGTCTCCACTCGCTTCGTCATCGTTGTCCTCCAGATTTTTCTGGCTCAACATCAGCGAATTGAGAGGTCCTTGATATTGGACCCGTAGGACTTCTCCTCAATTTGACGGCTAGCTGTAAAAGCTGAGGCACTTAGTACCGGTAAGCTTCATTTCGCGTCAAACCTTATCACATCGACATACAATATCTGCAAGCGTGGCGATGCCGTGGTAAACCCTGTTTCGCGCATGAAATCTCACCAGGTTGATGATGTGCGCAGGGCAATTATGAGGAACCAGCCACTTACCCAGAGCCAGTTGTGCGCGTAAGCCTTTGGTTTCGCACCAAATCTCATCGTGTCAGCCTCATCATATAATGTACGCAGGAAGAGTCTCCAGAACGGTGACCTGAGTAGAACCACTCACAATACAACAGAATTCGTACAAGGACACTATAACTACTCGCCAAAATATTCCTCCACCAGTGCTTGTTTCCTGAGGGCTAATAGCACGCCCTCCATTTCCTCTCTAGTCGGAAGTGTCGGTGGCATCAGGTCTTCTGGCGACAAAAAGCCCAGGTAAGCAGCGGCTGTAGTCGCGTGCGCGCGTATTGAGTCTGCGCCTCCATGTGATGAGACATCTGCCTTCGTTGTGTTGTCTGATTCGGCTTTACGAAGCCGTTTTTCTGCCTCCGAATTTGCCGTGTCCATCTCGACATCTTCTTCCTGAGCTTTGCGTTTAGTATTTGATAGATGTTGAGGTGGAGAGAGCCCGTTTAGTGGGAGTGGTGATGAGCTTGCCAATGATCCACGAGGTATTTCAGGTATTGGTTCATCAAGAGGGAGGTCGAGGATTTCCCGGACGTTCGTATATTCGTCTCTCCATTCTGATGCACATAAGAAAACAAAACTGTCTACACACATGGACATGACGTACCTGTTTCTTCTGCTTGACGCTCATATCCCAATAACTTTCCATCTGCTTCATCCAGGTCTCCAAAGTATGCGGGGCCTTGATTCGTGAACTTCTTGTAAAATGAAAGCGCTTCACTTTCCTCCTCTTCCTCTTTCTTCTTGCTCTGAAAGAGTTCGCGCACGCCTGGGAGATCTTTCGCGCGGCCAAAGTACCTATCATTTTATCAGTGACAACTTCATAGGGCAAGCTAAAACTCAAAAAGACGTACTTGTATCCTTTTGTCCCAGGCACTTCCTTCCCATCGTCATCCAACATGGCTACATTACGGCGATAGTTGGCACCTCCCAGCGCAATGATCTGGTTTTCCCAATGGCGCTTCTCGCGCATCAATTTGTTGATCTCGTCATTCACGTCTCGAACTTCATAGTCGGTCAAACCAGCTGTTAACAGATATTCATGTTAGCTCATCCGAATTTTAAGTCTCCTGCGAGGTGACGCGCCATCCTGAATCTTGGACACTTTGCGGCTTAGCTCTCTTAAGATTTCACCTCTCCACCGCTCGCACTCCCTTAGGCTCTTGCAGGCGCTGGCCATCTTCGGACGACGATCTGCACGCGTCCCGAGGCCAAGCTCAGCTGCTTGAGCCTCGCGGAAACGGTATAGCATTGACTGCGCCTTCTCTTCATTGCGGGCCTAGTTGTAAAAAAGACGATTAGTAGAATCTATAGAATACTCATCTTCAAGTACATACCATGGTTAGATCAGAAAGTACGGCCGGTCTGCGTGAGGTCTATGCAAACAAGTCACAGACTCTGTCAAAGTATGGTTGTCCGGAAAATGCCGGTAAGTCTGCTAAAGGAAACTTTCTGCTTTCCTGACCTGGACTTGGACTGGCAGTTCATGCCACGATGCGTGTGGGCTTGAATATTTGAATTCACAATTAGTAAGTAGCTCCAAGTCTTTCAGAATCAGTGGAAAGAGGTTCAGCTGATCATGATTGCTAGGTGTGACACCGTTAGGCTAATACTGATGCGGCGATATTCTGTTTTGTCACTGTGGCGTCTTAGAAATTGCCCTACAGTTGAAGTCGCCAGTGCTTGTACTATTCTCGGACCATTGCGTTCCTGAATGGAGTTGCTTTCCCTAAGCGTCATGCTCAAAGATTTCCCGCAGTACTCTCTTGGGCATAATATTTTTTGCGATGATGGGAAACCATTTGGTGACCCAGAAAGGTTCGGTACAGATGCTGGACAATTTCGTTCAAAGTCGTGTGACCCCTGGTTATGGAATTAGTTGAGCAATGGCGCATTTGTTTGCACATCGATGGTTTTTTCCATGCTATGCCATGGCGTTCAGCTCCCTTGCGCGACGACTTTCCTGTATCAGTTTATACTGCAGGTGAACAGACCTTCATTTGAACAGCCGACGAATGGTTTTAATGATTCATCACAACTCCAGTAAGTGGTGTTATGAATTACATGGTCGTGGGGTTCAATGACGCGTTCCACTTCTGTTCTATCTACCGCCGCGTCTGGCCCTCCTTTCCCGGAAATTCAGAATTGATGCCGCTTGAACCAAAACGGCCCATAATAGTGCGTCGTTCCGTTTTGTCCCATCACGCACTACTCAGTCATTCTTTGAAACCCTGTACTAACAGGACTAACTCAGATGACCGTGAGTGGATGCTCAAAACCTGCATAACAGATTTGCGTTCGAAAGTCAGGTATCCGGAAATTGGTGGAAATTGGTGGAGGTTTCGTGGTCTCTTTGGGATCCGCTTACCAAATACATTATCTGGCAAGTCATACACTGCGTTCGTTCTTGGCTCACACATGTGTAGAACTTGCTTCGCAAAACCTTTTGGTTGTTGGAGTATTGTAAGCCCACAGATTTTTCATTCCAGGGCACCTCGAAGTAGTCCGTATGCATCTTAGTAAATAGTCTTTCTGACTTGAGGACCAGGTGGTAACTTGTACTCGTGATATGCTACTGTTACGCTTCATATCACTGCATCGGAATGATCAGGCTGACAACATGCGTAATGCTGACGTGACGATGATAACATGGGACTGGGTACAATGGAGTATGAGACAATTTTGCATTGTGCTAACAAGCACGTTGTTCTATTAAACAAATCAGAGGCTACTCGCTTAAAACTATTGTCTACGGATGTCTTCCCAGATATTTTGCAAAATTTGGGAGTTTGTTAGAATTGTCATGTCGTTGGTGCGTTAGTAATCTAGATTCGGCACTTCAAGCTAAAGTCGAAAATCGATGTCCCAAAGCAATGAGGTTCATACCATTCACCGTTGATTGATGACCGCACAACTATGCATTTTTTAGCCGTATCTCCGTTGATACGTGGTCACTATTTCCGGTTGACATCATTCAGTATGGAATAATTTTCACGCAGAGTTTGACGCTTATCTCCGTGGGCGCTATCTTACTACGAGAAGTGTGCCCGGTGCCCAAACGAGGGGTGGACAGCTTGTGGAAAAAAAACAGTGGCAAGATGAGCAGTCAGTTGCATGTAAAATGGATTGCAAATTGCTTGACAGTGCCTACACTGCGGCCCGCCATGAACATAGGTACCCTGGGATAGAAATCAAATTGAATATCAAACACTTCTGTGACTACATCCACCATCATATGGAGAGGATACAACAAGAATGCGATCAAGGGGGATAGGGCAGGTCCACGTTATCCTCCAAGCGGACCCAACTGGATGGAGGGATAAAAACACGATGCTCGTCGATCCAATCTAAGATCTTCTCAAAGTTTCTACATTTGTGAGGAACATTGAAATCACCGAACGGAGTTGTCCTTCCCTCGATCCAATCATGAGTTATCATGGTAACATCACCACTACACATAGTGAACTGCCTGAGTATCTCAATGCAGTGGTCTAAGGTGCGACATGAGCAGGTTGTGGGCAGAGCAAGAAACAATATACTCACCGACATGGCGACGAGAGAGTTCGTGGGATTTATGCATGCCCCCATTCTCATGGTACTCGTTACCCCAGCTGACTTTGCGAAGTATGTCCTACAGGAATTTAAGCAAAGATCGACCAGCCTCTGTGTTTTACAACTGACTAGGCAATGGAGCTGGTGAATGACTTCTACAGTTGCTACGTAACCTCCACCGTATTCGTCCGGATACCTAGCCATGGCAGGAGAAGGTTTCTCCCCCGTTCTGAGCAGTTGCTCATGTGTCATACGGAGTGGGCGCACTGGGAAATATCATATTCAGTAGATGTCTATGATGTAAGTGAAGCATAGGGCACAACCATCAAGAGATACCCTATCCCAAATGGCGTCGAGCTCTGGGGATGGAGGGCCACTATATATGGAAGGAAAGTTGAAAGATCCGTTGAATTTTATGATGCCGATGGATTCAATTGCCTCGTTTGCTGGAGCTGTGATGGGTAAGTAAGGTCTTGTGCGCCGACTCTAGTCATCCACGTACAATATATAACTACGTCATCCATCGAAGGTGACCGTGCCCATTGTATGAAGAACCACAGAGTTATGGACATCAGTACACCATGGCTTAGCCAAGGCCACAGGTGAAGGAAGCGTGATTTCGGTGGAAGACTGATTGTTATACCACTACCAAGGAGCTTGGTATTGTCATCCTCGATCCCATCTAAATGAGAGTATTGAGAGTAGTATTCCTCATTCATGAGTCGCGAAATAAAATCAGGATCCGGAGTGGATGGGTCAAGTGTGAACCAGACAGCTTGGACGATTAAGTGCCTGTGAAGAAATGCTTACTTCTATTTATCCCAGAAGTTGTGACAGTGCTCGGCGAATCTCGTGAGGCTTGAGTGGGCGGCGCCGAGGATCTGGTACAATCTTTCTGGATCATTGGACTAAGAGAGCAAATGGAGTACGTTATCTAATCTCCCAGACCCTTTCTCAGGTCTCGAAGCCACGTTTCATGACATGGCGACTCGTTATCCCCTTTCCTCTTATTGCGCTTCAGACTACCCCAGCCTTGAAACTTTCGTAGTTAGGTCGTGGGAGCAGCACTTTTGAGATGCCTAGGACAACATGATTTCCTGTGGTCTTGCTGGCATATCTATTTGTCTTGCGGATACACAAATTGGTTACAAATGGACCCTGCAGCTTCCCACCTGTAGGCTCCTGTAGGTCAAATAAATCGATATGTCCGTGACTCATGATCCGGAGAATAGCAATTCTAATTACTGTATCATTTCGACCTTAGGTTCGTGGGAATTTCGGCACTGCATTACCTAATGGTTTTGTGACAGGTTCGTCTCACAAGGACAGCTGTGACAAACTTAGAGCTAGTTCGGAAATCCATGTGAAGTCAGGTTGAATCAATTTGCATTCGGCAAGCATGGTCAGCACGGCACACCCCGAACGGCTGACTTTCAACCTTGCTTGCATCCTACTACTACCAGTGTACCACCATGGAATCTTGTTATCGCATTGATAATCTCAAGGGTGTCCATCTCACCCGTCATAAACATATCTTGACAAGTGTTGTATCTCTAACAGCTCTTGCTGCACATTACACTACTGTTCTCATGGCTCAAGAGAAAGAGAAGGCATTTTGGACTGAATCAGAAGTAACTGCGCTGGTTGACTACCTTCATGAACATCGGTCAGAGCATGCCGAAGGAGGCAACTTCAAGATGGTAACATTCAATGGAGCAGCGAGGGATATCGCACCCAAGAAGACACAGGGCCCACAAAAGACTGGCAAAATGTGCCAGACAAAGTGGACATCAGTGAGTTGCTGATTTCAATCTACGTTATCAGTTTATCGATCTCAGCTAACATGTGTTTAGTTGAAACAGATTTACAACGCTATCGATAAGTATTGCAAGCAGTCTGGAATCAATCAGTGGCACCCTGAGTATGGTGCGAACATCCAGGGGGAAGCAGCAGCGGCAGTGTTTGATGCATATGTCCAGCAAAAGGTATGTCATTATACTCTCATGTCATGTTGTTTTACTAATACTACATTTCTTTCAGTCCAATTCTGCGATGTGCCCTTTCCGAAACTCCAGATGGGTCTATCTTGAGCGGATGCAGGAGATTTTACCTGTGGGTGGCGCATGAGGGGCAGCGGCTTTCCAAGCCACCGATGTTCCCGCGCCCTCCATTGACGATGAGCCTGGGGTGGATGCCCCAGGAGCTCAGGCTCCTGGATCTGCTAGCTCCATGAGTGCCATCACTGGCATGAGTGGCGGATCTACTAGCTCCACGAGTGCTGCTGCCGGCACAAGTGGTGACATCATTATGTCCGGGACCAATACCATCGCTTCTCCTCCTCCCCCGTCTAGTGCTGCCACTCGACCAACTATCTCTACAACCTCCAGTACCAGAAAGCGCTCACACAATGCCACATCCATGTTCCATGATGATGCAGCCACATTCGCATCCACAGTACCTTCATCGACATCTGAACTGCCACAACAATCTGAGGCTTGAGCGTCAAAGAAACAGAAGTCGCGTGCAACCCAGTCACGTGCTGACAGTGGCCAATCTGCAATGATGACCAGCGCTGCAAGAGCAGCCAAGATCATGCCAGCTGCAGCTGTTGTGGGCATGCAAGGGTCCATCAATCGTCTCACCGATGTGATCGAGAAGGGTATGGTTACTGATGTGGAAAGGCTGGAGAAGCAGAGACACGCTGCCTTGCATATCTTGAACGGGGAAGATGCAGACTACTATCCGTTGCAGGAGAGGGTCATTGTCATGCACATGTTTGCAGATGACCCTGCTGTCACCGACGTATACCTTCAAAACGATAACAAAGACACGCGGTACGCATTCATCCAGCACATGATCCAGTATAGATTTCAGAAGGTCCCGCAAGCACCACAAGTGCCATACGTCCATCCGCAGTTGTAACTGTGCTGCCAGTGCCATGTAGTTTACCTGCCATTTGTTCAATCTCGCATGCACTCATTTGTTTTTTTCATACTCAATCACTAGCTGCACTAGCTGTTTCCATACCAAGTACTTGTTGTTTCCATACTGAATTACATGTGTTTCTATGCTACGCTTTCCAATTCACTCTCGTCCAACGCATCTGATACCTCCGAGTCTGAACCTGAGTCCAACAAAGCCCTCTCATGTATGACATCCTGATACTGATCCCACATTGCTTGCGCAATGCATTCACGCATTGCGCGACCACTCACCGCATGACCACTATCGTCGTTCATTTCTTCATCATCGTCGTCGTCGTCGTCAGCTTGTCCCTGAAAATCAGGGTTCTCAGATGCGTATGATTCGCCGCGCGACTCTTCATCCTCATTGGGATCATGTAGGTGTAGGAAGTTGTGGATTGCGCACAATGCAGCAGGAATTTGTGCTTGAGTGTCGAGGGGGTACTCTGGTGCCAAAAGGAGAATGCAAAAGCGGCGTTTTAGGACACCAAAGATGCGCTCTATCACATTTCGTGCAGATGTGTGGCGTAGGTTGAAGAGCTCCTCTTTATTGACGGGCCTGCCATCAAAATATAAGTTAGAAAAACATACCTGATATTTGCACGGCCCCACTCCGCGAGGTGGTAACGGACACCACGGTATGGCACAAGAAGTTCAGGGCAAAGCGGGAATCCTGCATCCGCTAGGTAGTACTTCTGTCGTGGAATGTGGAAGTCATGTGCATGCGCATCCTCATAAATCCAAGAATTGTTAGCTGAACCCTCCCACCCGGTCAAAGAGTAGACAAAATTGAGGTCAAAGTCGCAAGCAAATAAACAGTTCTGCGAAACGAAACCTTTGCGATTACGGTATACAGTGCGTTTGAAGGCAGGGGGCAACACATGAATATGACTTCTGTCGAGTGCGCCAACAGCATCACAGAAAAACGGCCAAAATTTGGGGTTGTTTTTTTATTTTTTTTGAGACCAAAGTGCCATCTGGTAAGTGGACGTAGGTAGTGTAGAACGGGGGGGACGAGAATATGTGTAGAATCCTTTTAAAATAACTAGGAAATATTAGATGTATTGTATAGATCAAAAAATAATAGCGCTCACCGTGAAATCATATTGTTTGATCTCTGAAACCACTCTCCAACATGCCGGGTAGTCAGACCCGTGATGCTAGTATACAGGAATATAGCGACTTGTTCTTCCAACGAGACGAACTTGGAGTCAACATAACCAAAGTTACGGAGCTCAGAGATGAGCACTTCAAAAGCATGTGCATGCATACCCAGTTCGCATCGAATGTGTTCCGGATGTCCAGTAAGAAGCTCCATAAGCCAGCCTTCACCAGAGAGAATGGATGTGTGGTACGGTTCCAGGTCTTTGGAGTAGGTAGATTGTAGTAGGGATCCTGTAGCACATATCAGGATGCTGATGAGGATTTTAGCATAGTGAAGGAGGCGTTGTTGGATCTCTGGACGTGTCATTGTAGTGAGAACAGTAGTTACAGTAATGTGCAGCAAGAGCTGGTAGAGATACAACACTTGTCAAGATCCTTAAGATTATCGATGCGATAACAGTAGTAGTACGATGCAAGCAAGGTTGAAAGTCAGCCGTTCGGGGTGGCGTGCCGACCATGCTTGCTGACTGCAAATTGATTCAACCTGACTTCACATGAGTTTCCGAACTAGCTCTTACAATAGATTCATAGGTTCATAAGGTTCATATTCAGTAGGATAATATATGTACTTTCTACACAAAGTATAGCTCAAAAATGACAATTAGGAGGGAAAAAAAAGTGGTTAGACAAATGTTTTCATAAAAAAACATATCATATGTTATGTCACAAAATTAGATTCGTTGACCCAAAACAGCTGTGACTGTCACAAAAAATAGGTTCAGTTTGTTGGGCTTGCGATGGTGTGACGAACCTAAGGTCGAAATGATACAGTACCTTCAAAATTTCAGGGCTTGGATACGTCGACACTAGTGCTGTTGTAGTCCAGTTCGGTCTGGTTCAGAGGCAGTTTGACGAGAACCGAGAACTGGACCTTGGTCCAGTTCTACCTTTCTTGACGAACCTTGGACCGAACCTGTGTGGACGGTTTGCAGTGGTCAGGTTCAGTTTTTTTCGGTTTGAACGCGAACCAGACCCAATTTTTTATAGCCAGCAAAAAAAAACATAGTAGAAGTTGTCCGAGCTCCACCATGCCATTCCGAACACCACAAACACCATGCGCAAATGCCCAGCACACGTCAGCAACTGCTGATGTGGCTCAGACAAATACGGATGATGGATGAGAGCAGGAGAAGGGAAGAAGACAAGGAGGAGAATGAGAGAGAGAGGAGATGGACGATTGGTAGCAGTCGAGTGGTTCGATTCTGCATGAGATTGGCAGTATATGAGATAAGTACCATGCTAGCTCGTATGACAAGACACTTCATATGTGGGACTTGAAGATAGGTGATGTGATGAAGCAGATTAGTAATGTGCAGGCTTGTTGGGTTAGACAGAGTCGTACTGAGATCAATTTCATGAGGGATCGATGAAGATGGAAGGGAGACATTGAGTAATTTGAATGTTTGAATTTATCTGAAAATGATTGACTATATCAGTCCCCCATCCAGAGTTGAGTCTACATGTGCAATGTACCATGGTATCTAGGACACTGCTGATGAGGATGGAGTACCGCTGTCATTGCACTGTTGGCCTGGTTGCTGTTCATACATTGCATAGCTGCAGCCACTTCTGCTTCTGCATCAGTTTCAGGAACAATACCATATCTCTGCAGTGTATTTTAATAGAATGAAATTAGAGGGATGACAAGTGACTCACATTTTCATCTTGAGCAAGAGGTACATTGACATTGCGTGTGGAATATCCTCCAGAAAACAAGTTGAGGTTGAAATCGAGATAAGCATAGATGTGCACGGACTATCGACAACAGGTAGGACAAGATGAAGTAGTTGCCTTGCTCGAGTTGCTGATTATATTTAGGTCAGCCGGTGTCTGAATCAGCATGATGAGAATAAAACTCACTTCTTGAGTCCAGTGCCAATTGGCGTGCAGCCAACGTATCATGCTCGAGCCAGACATCAACATTGCGATCATAAAGAACATGAGCAATATAAAGAGTAGACAATAGGGAACAGATGACATGTAGTTGAAGTAAGACACAGGAGACCCATGCTGATGAAAACACCGCTTATAAATTGAGTCATACAGCAAGGATTCCTAAGTTTTGAAATTGTACCTGAGTAGAATAGAATGAAGCCATGGCGTGAAACAGAATAGGGAAGAGAGAGACTAATGCTCATAGTGAGAACAGGGCTCTGTGAGGCCGAGGTGGATCATTGAAGGGAGTGTCAAAACATGCTTCGACAATGTGACAGAACTTCTTGCGGTGTAGAAACAACAATACAGAGAGGAACAATGATGCTCCAAACTGTATCTAAAAATGTTGTAGGTCGTGCGTTGCCTAGTCTGCGTTACTTGAGGAGACAAGCGCGTTCGACCCTAGGGGAAGCAAGTGCAGCAAGGATCTAGAAGTGTGCGCCAAAGCGAAGCACGAGAAAGCGTAGATGTACGCAAGGCGCGGGAACGCGCGTGTGTATTAGCGCGAAGCGTGGGAAAGCGCGCGCGCACATGTGGAAATGATAGAGAGACTAAGCTTAAGTGATAATATAATACAAGATAAGTGAAGAGAGGTGCAAAGTGCAGACAAATAGATTTCTACTATGTTCTTCTAGGTAGATAGTGGGTGGAAAGTATAGTAAAGTGAAAGGTAGGAAAAGTAAGTTAAAAAGTAGGTTCCAAAGTCTCAAGTACTATGTACTGCTGGCGCTTATATAGCGCGCCTAAGCGCGGTCATGTGGAGCCGAAGCGCTACCGAGTATGTATGTAAGATATATATGGGTGAGAGTCCATGATAAAAATAAAGATGGAACAATATGCAGATGAGAGAAATAGAAATATACGCACTAGAGGGCTTGGTGGACAGTGGATGGATTCTGGATGGCTGGTGCTATAGGGCGCTCAAGCGCGGGAACGCGCACGCGCATATACATCGTGAAGCGCGGGAATGGTGCGCGTTGCACAGGAAAGCTGCGCCTCATATAGGAATTGCTGTGGACAGTACACAGAGTGGTGCTGTGAGTTGGTGCTGTATACTCCCTTAGTGGAAACTGCCATATCATGCCATGAGAGGCATGAGTCTCTACAGCAGTTCAGGGTTTGGACCAGTTTGGGGAAGGTTCGAACCAACATAGAACTGTTCAGGCAATGGTGGACTGCAAACCTCACTCAGGTCCGGTCCACCCCAATTCCTGGACCATGGACCGAACCAAGGAAGAACCTGACCATTGGTCAGGTTTGGACCATGGTTCTGGACTGAACCATGGCAGCACTAGTCGACACTCAGCAGCATTGCAAAGCCCATCAACTTGCCGCATCTGTGATACTGAGGAAGTGGTTACCAATGCATTGGACAGATGCTATGGTACAGTCCGATCCATTGTTGGTCATCGTCAAGGTGTTGAAAACTAAAACTCGAGCATTTATCTGTGCGATGATCGGGGAGTACCTACTACTGTGACAGTGTGGCCGTAACATTAATCAGACCAAATATGGTAGCCATTTCGATCACTTCTTGTAGAGTAAAACAGCAAGAATCTATGTGAATACAAAGCAATAGCAGAGGCGATAGCATCGAACACAATGACATGTAATGAAAGCAAGTGTGCATACGGCAAATGGGCAAATCAGAGCAAACATCAACAGATCAAAAAACACTAGTGAATGTGAAGCAAAGGATGGAACAGTCACATCAGGAAATCAACCTGAATCTGTTATGACTAGATGCATGTAACCGACAAAAAACATTATTATACATCTAGTTTTGGATTTATATATCTTTCTCGTGGTATCACATATATACAACATAAGATATGATTTTACAAGGGGGATATAATTTTGATATGTGTATTATAGGCCAACAGCAGTGTGACAATAGAGCCTTCCAACCATTATAATTGGCTAGCCTCAAAACAAATCATGATATCTTAAGCTTTAGAAATATATGATATTATCATATGTCCAACAGAAGATATGATTTTGCAAGGGAAATATAATTTTGATGTGTATATTATAGATTGACAGCTGTGTTACAACAGAACCTTCCAACCATTATAATTGGCTGACCTCCAAACACATCATTATATCTTAAGCTTTAGAATTATCACATATCCAACAGAAGATATGATTTTGCAAGGGAGATATAATTTTGATATGTGTATTATAGGCTGACAGCAGTGTGTCAACTGAACCTTCCAACCATTATAATTGGCTAGCCTCAAAACAAACCATGATATCTTAAGCTTTAGAAATATATGATATTATCACATGTCCGACAGAAGATATAATTTCACAAGGGAGACATCATTTTGATTTATGTATTATAGGCCGACAACAGTGTGACAACAGAACCTTCCAACCCTTATAATTGGCTGGCCTGAAAACTCATTATTATATGTTCAGCTTTGATATTATCATGCTGTCACATAGATATGAAAGAAGATATGACTATGTGAAGGAGATATAATATTGACATGTATTTTAGATGGGACAACAGCATGGCAATTGAACCTTCCATACATTACAACTGCTAGTAGCTGACCACAAAACAAATATCATTAGATGACCATGCAACTTAGATACATATTCATTTTATTAGTAGTAGCACACGGTACTACAGTTGCGGACAGGCAAAGTCGACAACTTTCATAGCAGATGAAAGGATTTTTTTGGCACAAAATGGCCTTCAGATATCGATTCTACAGGTCGAAAGACATTCAAAAATGCCTTGAACTAAATTTTCCCATGTGTTTTTTGGGTACGGCCAAATTTTTGGGCTAAATTGTTATTTGATAGACACTAGGAGTGCAAAAATAATGGTATGTATCTTAGTTAAGAACAGCCACAATTGAATCCATGGCAGTTTGAGACATGGAGTGGTGTTTTTTCTGCTTTCGCACTGCCCAAGCTGCAGCTTCCCCAGTCAAACCCTTTCAGTAGGCACTCATAAAACACCACGAGCGATTGATGAAATGATGAAAGACCTCTAACGGGCAAGCATTGAGAAAATGCTCGGCTGCTTTCTTGGCTTCACAAAAACTGATTTTTGGTGTCTCTCGGTATCGGAACTTGCACCAGCCCCAGTACTACCAACAAACTCAGCATCTGAATCTACCTTTGACAGGCCACTCACCATTTCAATGGGATTCAACTTGCAATGGAACTTTGGTAAAAAGATACATAGGTGGCCCGTCTTCTTGATCATGGTCTCGAGCATTGACTCCTGGTTTGCAAAGTCGTCTTGCTGTGAAAGAAGATGAGCCATGCAACAACCCTTGCTCTCAAAAGGACAGACAGGTGAACATTTAGCTTTCAACCGTCTGACATCAAATCCTTGCTCGGTAAGGACAGTGGAGACCTTTGGGGGTGCCATCTTCATTTGTCATTTTCTGTACTTTGCCATGGACAGAAATATTGGGGTTGTTCATTGGTATCACTGTGTTGTGCTGTTTTCGTTGTTTGCCTTTATCTGATTTGTTCATTTCAAATGCTTTCAATGAATCAGGAGGGAGCGAGGCATGAGCTGATGACTGATCAAATACGAAAAGTGCTTGACAGTCTGGGTGTGCGAGCATGAATATGTCAATTGCATTTTTAACCTGCTCGAGGAACTGGGCACTATCCCACCAAGTGTCATATCCCGTATTTCGGATCTACATCCGATAATATTCCCACGCCTCATCCGGACCTTCAGATGTGCTATCCATGTCTCCAGTACCCATCCGGATCCCTGCACCTCTGCACATCCACATCCGCATGTCCACGTCCAGATCCCTTATCCTTCACAGCTAGCCTGCATCATTCATCCTTGTCCCATCGCCCTAATGCCACATCCTATATATCCACGCATCTCATCCGGACCATATCTGATCCGGTCCAATCTGATGTATAGATCCACTTCCGATCCAATATAGATAAGCTTCCTAATTCATTTCCTGTTCTTATAATGTTATACACAGCCTATTCGGTATTTCCTCTATTCTGCTGTTTCGGTTATATCTATTACCGGTATGCTTACTGATCCATTAACCTATGTTCATTTATGACTCGCATTTGTTAACCTTTGCATATGCTTCATACATAGCCTCAGACTCTGCTTATTGATCCTTCCATTATTTCTCTTAGTATATAAACTCGTGTATATGTCTTGTAGTACCTCAGTCTGAATATCATATTAGTCCTCGCACTAGTCTTCACTCTAAGTCCTCATATCAGTTCTAGTCTTCCAACTTAGTTGATATCCATCTCAGGCCTAGGGAGTTTCTCCCTAGGCCAGAGCTCCGCTCCTCCGCTCCTCCACTCATCTGAAGTTCCGGAAGTTCATCCGGAACTTTCCCACGGTCCTCCGGACCTATTCTGCTTCGGACTTTGTCCTTGCAGCCTTTCCTCTGTTTGCTTCTACTCAGGACAAGTCCTGAGTAGCCATTACACGTATCTGTATTAGGACGAAACCTCATTGTAATTTCTGGAAGTTCCTCCAGAACTTTCCTGCACTCATCCGGAAGTTACTTGTACCCGTCCGGAAAGTCCTTCTGAAGTTTCCCGCGCCTTTGGACATCTTCAGACTTTCTTTGGACACCAATCTGAAATTAAGGGCACATACTCGGGTAAGGGGCGCAGCGCACGAGCTGAAGCCAAGCCCCTCAGAATCAGTCCTACCCTTTGTGCATGGTCTTAACACCAAGGATCACCATTTGACCCTGGATAGATAATTTTGTGTGCATCTCGAAGCAATTCACCATCTTGACCTTGTAGAATAAGTCAGCCATCTTCTTCATTGATAAAATCAGAAACATGGATTAGTCGTCCTCAACCTTTCTTGCAAAGGGGCTGTTCACCAGACCGCAACCTTTGATTCAACATTATAAGTTAATATGAGTATTCGAGCTGATGGGGTGTACATTACCATGAAGTATTGGATTGATCATTGGTATGAAAACAACATTCATCATGAAACTGTAGACTCGTGACCAGTCTGATGTACGTCACATGAGAGTGGGGAGTTTTCGATGTAGTCAGACTGGTCGATCTCGGAGAGATTTGGCAGGTGAAGCACGGAGTTCGAATTTTAGCAGGTGCCGGTTGTGCCGGGTGTCGTCATACTGTACAGATGTTCTCCATCTTGGTGCTAACCTCATCAGTAACTAGCACAATAGCACATTGTCACAAAATAGCATGGACCTGTTGTTCTCCTCGCTGGCTATGGAATATTTTCTAGCAAGGAGGTAATCTTTTCCTTGCTGAGGCTGCGAGGGTCCACTGTCCAAGCTAAAGATTCAGGCGGTAGGGCATACTGCAGTGGGGGAGTATAATATGGAGAAAATGGTAGCTTTTAAAGTATCCTATTTCAATTTTAGTGATGCACTGCAAATGCGAGATAGATGCGGCACTCTATGCAGTGCATGAACAAAAGTTTCTGGGTGATTGATAGTCGACAGTAACTATGTAGCACTATTACTTCGACCGGCACGACTGGCACCTGCTAAATTAAAACTCTGTGCTTCGCCTGCCAAATCTCTCTGAGATCAACCAGCCTGGCCACGCCACTCGACTTGTCCGTGGTTATATAAGCCAGGCTGGTCCTGAGCCTAATGAAACTGTGCAATAATCCTTTTTTCTCCAGGCTTTAGATGTAGTTCAACCTTTTTCAACTCGGGCCCTTCATACTGAACCATCCGGGCCTCATACTGTGCCATGAGAGGTAAGAAGACCTCTCTGCGGTACTTCACTACATTGTCCCTCTCATGACCATCCATGTACACCCCTTTTTGGACCATCGTGTGCCTCCATCCAAGCTTGAGAAGCCAGTGTTGAGCTGTGCGCACACTAAGCGGCTGCTTTGGGTGAATGCCGAGATCCAGAAAAATAGCTGAAGTGAGGGCATGCTGCAATTTCTTCAGAGTGACACTGCCAACCTTCTGTGCAGTCAGCCAAGATCGGGTGCATGCCTGTACAGCTTCATCATGAAGCCAAGAGTGGGCATTAGCCTTGCCACCTTGCTTCTCCACAGGCAGCTGTGCAAATATTTGGTAATGCCGAACAAGTGCTTGCATCTTCCGTGCAAAGTGAATTCCTTCGCCTTTGTGCCATTGCCGAGCAATCTCAATGCTAGCCTGTATCTGTGAGCATCCCTTGATGCATAGGGTTTCAAAATTTGAGAGTATGGTGAGTTTATTGATGTGCGCCAGTGAGAAGCTCTTGCTGTTCTTCTTTAGGTCTGATTTGATGTTCTTGTGCATCTCGCTCCAATCATGAAATCTCATTATGTCCCCTCCTGCTGAAAGCATCAGCTCATCCTCCCAAGTCTCATCATCAACATCTTCTGCCTCTTCGGTTGACTCATCCAAATCCATGATCTCTGTGGGCTCCAGTTCATCATTTGATGATGCCTGATCTGATAGAACAGATGCTGAGCGAGCACGTGGGATCGTTGATGAACTTGGATACTGCTGCCATTCTGGTTGCAGCATGGATAATGTTGTTTGGCGTACTGGCACAGCCGTCATGGGCAATACATGTCTGGCTATGTTTGCTGGTCCTGCCATTGCAGCTCGGTCAGGTGCCAGGGTTGACTTGTTGAAAAACCTTGTTAGTTGAGGTTGGTTTTGCAAGTTCTTCTTGTGCCTTCAAACAGTTCTCTCTGATTGACTTGTAAAGGAATTGGCATAAGTCCTGGGTCTCGCTGCTGGAAAGGTAAGCAAGACTTTCTTTGAATTGTAACCAATTAACTCACTCAGCATTTTTGATTTTGCACGAATTTCTGCCTTCTTTTGGAGACGTTCTGGGAGCCAGTCTGGGTCTCGGAGCTTGTTGTCCATCTCTGACATTACAGCCAACAACCATTCATCATTGAGTTCTTCCCACTCATCCTGGTCATCCACATCTGATACCATCTCCGAGTCTGATGTGTCAAGCTCAGCAAAAGCTGTTTTCAAACTATCAAAGAATAAGTGCAGAGGGGGCTCTTCATCAACATATTCTTCAGGACTTGGTGCACGGAACCTGGGCTTCAAGGCATTGACTCAAACTTCATGTTCAGAATTGTCTTGGTTCGACAACTGAGTATTTCACCTGGGTCTTTTTGAGTGTGCCATGAGCAGACTCGGATGGGTGAGTAGTGCAACTTTATTAATTTTTTTGGGGACCAAACTATAAACATTCCTCATTTTTGACCCCAGGGTCAGACTCAGGCTCGAAAAAGGAGTTGATTGCACTATTTCTCGAGATTTTAGGCACTAGTTTGAGGTACTGGCCAAATTTTGGGGTCTGAGTGACCACAACATCGTAATTGGCAGCTTGAATCATACTTTGTACATTTGTAAATAGTCTAATTATGCTTAGTGTGTCATTATCCAGGTGTTTCAGAAGGCTGTGGAAAGGTTAACCATACTTGTCGATTTTGCTTGTCCGCAACTGTAGTAGCACAACTGCAAGAAGAAGTATTGCAGTGAGAACGGGGATGCCAGGGCTAAGTGATATTGCTGAAGTACTGAGGTCTCACTCTTTCCTGCGTGATTCTGTGAGATTCTGTGAAACCAATGTGATTGATACAATGAAAAACAAGAAAACTGTGATGCACTGTCATGACCACAACCTGCTTGAATGTGCCAGAACACAGTCCAGTATTGGTAGTTGTAGGGCATGGTGAGTGTAGTAGGTGTTCCTGTGCATCTGGGGTAGAACTCGACGGTGATGGCCACTGGGGTTTGGGTGCGTCCTTTGGTAGGGTGTGCTCTGGTTATGGATGACCATGATTATGAAATGTAGATGACTTACCATAGTTCTTGCATATTTGCTGCGGGAAGAGACAACCACCTTTACATAGTCCCCAAGTAAATATGCGGTAAATTACAGAGCAAAAGGGACATGCCTTGTCATATACCACAAGAGTAGAGAACCCTGGAGTCCCTTGCATGTGCATAACTTCAATGAATTGTGCACAAAAGTCTGAATCCATACCAGTAGGTGAAAGGAGACATCACAATTGAATGCAATGCTCGATGGTTGCAGAAGCTAGGACCTCAGATGAGTAATGTTCGGCTAGAATGATGTCAGAAGTTGAAATAGACGAAGTCTTAATGTGGGCGAACCAATGATACCTCTCTTGAAAAAATTGATTCATTGTGAACACTCAAGATTGTATCAGTCTCGTTTAGCCAGATGGAAGCTTGCTGACGATCTTCTCATCCTGTGATGGTCATCAGCTAGCATGTACTTGGAGTAGTCTTGATGGCTCAGTGTCCATAAAAAGCACGCTCTTCATCATAAGGGGCTGCTGGAGCCATCAGATCATACATGGAAAGTTGCTAGAAAGTTAGGTAAAACCAGGCCTGTACTAGTAAATTCTTGAATATCACAAGTACCTCGACAGAAGCATGACTTACCCAATGCAATGACATCAAGAGCATGATCCTCAGAAATATATCAATGTGGTCGAAAAGAGCTTTTAGATTCAGTGCCCATGAGCTCTACAAAGATAAACTTGTGAACATTATTCTCTTGCTTTAAGTGTGTTTTACCTTGGACGGAGCTGAAGTTGCTGGACTAAAACTGTCAAACAGAATAATTTGCGTCGGGTTCGCTTGACAATTTTCTGGAAATTGGATCAAAGGGAATCTATGTTTGATCGAGTTAAGACTGGTTAGACAAGCAAACAAGTGACTTACAGTTGATAACAGCTGTGAGCCTAGCCTCATAATCTTTGTGACAAACAAGGTGTCGCACAATTCATGCAGCCCAATCAAATCCATTGGTGTTGTCGAAAGAAGTGCAAAGTGACCTGGAGAGGCGCTGAGTCCAGTTAGGAAAGAAAAAGATGAAATTGACTGATGCAGTGCTGACTCAGAGAGTGGAAGCTATTGACTATGGTTGATATTTGCGAACTGGAACTGTCAGTGATCTAGTAGTGCTGAACCGTGCATGAGTTTGCATAAGAGTCGGATTGTGTTCCTTGAGGAAAAGTGTCCCATCATATTGAGGAGAAATGAAATACTTTTAAACTCCCAGAATCAGGTCGGCCAACCCGGGGTGAGCATCAACAAGCCAAGGAACCCTTATCAGAATAGTGATCGCCGGGTGTAAAGCTTCTACAGAGAGAAGGCGGTCAACAAGCCCAGCGATTTGGTTAACAGGTTTGGACTTGAAGACACTCTTCTTGACTTCTGTGGGTTCTACACAAGGCTGTAGGGTTGGGTTATAAAGAATAGGATGAAACCAGCGCAAGAGTTGCATGAAGTTGAAGTCCCTCTCACAGCATTTCACCTGGAAGGGCAAGACAGAATTGTGAAGTTACTATTTACAGACTCTACTATTAACACTTTGCTATCTCCTTCAACATACACTTGTCATCAAATAAGTAAATCTTATGGGGCCACAAAATGCTGTAAGTAATTTCAAATATCTCACTATCATACTAAAATGAGATCAGCAGGCTTGTGGGGCTAACGGCTTGAAGGTGAGGCTGACAGATGCTGTTGGTTTACAAAGAGTCATTGTTAGATCAAGGCTGGTAGTAGTGCAAAACAAACAGTACGTACTTCAGCTTTCGCGTTTAATTTCACTGACATCCATAATATAGTGAAGGGGGGATTGGGGAAGATTGGAAGATGACAAGCATGGAGTGGAAAGGGAGGGTCATGACTGACAGCGGGGGCAGAAGTATGCTCCCCTGTCGGGGAGGAAGGCTCAGGAGGCTTTGAGGAGATGGTGAAATGAGTTTCATAGATTGGCAAAGGAGGATTCGTGACAGATGGGTTTTGAAAGTATGATTCCTTCGCCAGTAGATATGCTCATGTATCAAAAATCAGCAAGAAAAGGGTAAACCAGGGCATGCGGGACACTTGAGCTTTGAACTGACCAATGTCCATGATAGCAATGGCGGACCAGATGGTGTCTGGAATCAATTTTTTTGTGATTATCTAAATCAAAATTTAGGATAACTGATCGACCATCATACGAGAACGATTCACCACTCATCTAGATGAAGACTACCTCAAGTGATCTATACCACTGTGCACTAGATTAACCACATTCTGCTCCAATCATCAGTATGTGGAGGAATGTCTTGAACAAAACTTACTGCTGACATGTCCAGATTGATGGCCTGCACTTTAGGACCTACTTTCTGTGGCCAGGACATGGACACCCGCACCGGAAAAGTTGAAAACGGTTTCTTCCTGTGACCATGATTACAATGTGAGTGGACTTGTCAGTATCTAGTATTCCGTCTGATTCTTTTGATGCACCTATGTCATATGAGAGCACATAGAGGTTATTTACATGACTTCAAGGTATTGCTTGTTAAATACTTAAACATTTTCAAAATAAATTGTTGCAGGGCAAATGAGCGCGCATCCTGCCACAACCATTTTTGTCAAAACACGCTTGTCAAATAAATAAAAAGAGGTAGAACAGGAGTAGTAGAAATAACATAGATCAAGTCCAAGCATACAACCAATTCATGTGAGGCACCGATACAACAGATGGTGGAAATGTGCCACTGACTTTGAAAGGGAAGGAGAAAGGCTACAAGTAGGTGGTAAAAGTACAAGTGAGATTATTATAGGATGTCAGAGGTATCAGAAGGTGCGGATGGGGTCAAAAACCAATCATCAAACCAATCATCAGGTAAACATGACTCAAAGGTCCCAGCCATTCCCGAAGATGTACCTACAGTTTTCTTAATGTGATAAAATTAGAACAAAAGTTGAGCGCTTACTGTCATCATCCGTGGCATTGAGCTCAGTGATACGTACAATCATGTCGTACAACATGTCTACTTCGATCTGGGTGCGCTGTTTCTTCAAGTCTAGAATATGAAAAACAGACATGAGCATGGCCGGTGCCTTTGCCTCCTTTCATGTGAACCGGTTGCCTTTCATGGTAGGTCAGGGCTCGTTGCTTTCTGCAAGAGATGCGCTCATGTATGAGCGATATATGACATTATCAACCCAGGCTTTCATCAAACGGGGCAGTGGGGAGGGGTTGTCATCGTGCTGTACAGTGTTAGATCACCAGATCCCCCGTAATATTGGCACTCACCCTCAGGAGGTATTCATGAAGATGAGGAGAGTTAGGGGGCTTTTGGCTGATGTCAAAACTGACTTCTGCAGTGTCTTGGATATTTGACTTAAGAAGCCATGCCTAGCATTTCTTGTATGATTTATCTTGAATATCATTTAAAGGCTGAAAGGGACGGAAATTGAGTGTATGAGAAGATGTCTCTGTAGACCCAATTGTGTTCACTGAAGCTAGTACCAAATTTGGGTGAAGACACCCTGATGCTGGGAATACATTTAGTATCCAACATAAGCCTCTCAATGATGCAGCGCACCTGGCTGATTTCTGGCATCCAACTCTTCACAGAGGTTCACAATAGCTTTACTATATAATGATACTTCCATCTGAGCGCGATACATCATCTCCTCCATAACACAATACCCTCCTTGCTTAAGGAATTGTATACAACCATCCTCTTGCTGGAGCTGCATTTGCTTCACAATTTCTCTGAGGATCATTTCAAGAAGAGACATAAGGTCACGGGAGTTGACCAATCCAAACAGCACAGAAGTTGTGATAAAGATGGAGTCTGGAAGCTAGAAGTGAAGTTATGAGCACAAAATATGAAAACATGTATGGATACTGACAACATTGGGCCCGTGTGTCCCCAGCCAAGATGCCAGGGTGTCCTCGGTGCGTTCAATCCCAAGAAAGACATTTTTTAAATGGCCTATGGGTGTAGAAGAAAAAGTTGAAATAATCTTCACCATGTCGAAAGTTGGTGGGTCGAAACATTTGCACAATCGTCGAACAACAACCTTATAATTATCTGCCTATGGACTTTTTAAAGTTTGAGCGCCATATCAGCTGATGCTATTAACAGTGCGATGGCAGAAGGTGGCGGAAGATGGTGAGCAAGATAAGATATGTATGTTAGCAAAATAATTAATAATTAAATTTATGTAGCTTTGTGCAGCTCAAGAGCTTACTAAACACTTGGGCAAACTGAATTTACTCCAGCACTGTCAAATGGCGCACACTGGGAAGACAGTGATATTTCAAATACAAGAGGTACAGTTAAGTGAGAGCAGGCGCAAAAGATATCTCAAAGACATTTACTTCTTCCTGGGGCATACAACCATGGTAACATCTCGCACCCTGCACAGGACATTACTATTAGCCAGATACATAGAAATACATTCCAAGAATGGGAACTCATGTGAGATTACAAAAAGGTGCATGATGTCCGTGAACTCGAGGTATCCTGGGTCATTGTCTAGTTGTAGTAATATCCTGAGCATCTCAAGGGCATTTGTATGAACTGTGGTAGGAGATGGATAATGGCTTAGGTCATAGGAACTACCTGTGGTTGTTAATCATGACTATATTGAGTTCTCAGAGCAGCGCACCATAGCACTAACATATCAAGATACTTTTATGAACGAAAAACCGCATAGAGAATGAATACAACTTACAGAAGATGCCATGTAGGCCAGGGTGGCTTCCGGGAGGTGGGGAGCATTCTTGAACAAATCGGGCTCAAGATCAGCCACAACTGTTACAAACTCAGATAGAGTCTTCTATAACAGCTCCAATAAAGGAGATCAAGAGTACGGTATTGGGTAACAACGACTAGAGGTAGAACTCTAGTGAAGTGATCGAGTAAAGGCTAGTCTCTTGAGCAAAGAGCTAGATCAGGAGGCACCCTCAGGTCCTGGTCAAGTATCAGGGAGAACTGAGTAGATTCAAGTTAAGGAAATGTACAAGAGGTAACTAGGGTTTATATACATAAAGAGAAGTGCACAAACCAGTCCATGAGGCATTGTAGAAGTACAAGAAAAGGAAGTCATAGATAAGGGAAGTCCTCATGGTCGACATGAGGCGAGCTAGAAGTGAAACAGTGATCAAGAAGTAAGACAGGGACCAAGAAGATGATACATGCATAGTCCTGTAGGCATGATAGAAGAGAAAATGATAGAGTCACTGTAATAACGACCAGTGGTACATGAGGGGTTGAGTGGGCTAGAGCGCCTTTCAACCTGGTCTTTCTGAATATGACATGCCAGGCAAGTATCTTGGAAAACTTGGAACGAAAGAACCAAATCAAATCATTTTGCTGCAGGAGTAAGAGTAAGAGTTGGATAACATAAGATAAATCAAAAACTCACATTGATCGAAGACAATTGGATTTCAGATGCAGGAAGTTTTCTAGCAACGTCTCAAGCTTAGCTTGGAGAACAGGACCAAAGATGTTGTGGAGTCCAAATCCTGCTTCATGATGAGTGATTGCCCAATCGGCTACCTGAGCTGTATCATAGATAAATTGGGATATCCACTTGACAGCCTATTCGAGGTGAGACAAGAAACAAAACAAGGAAGAAATATACCATCACAAGCATAGCCTCCTGAGTTATGGTCAAGCCATTGAGAACAACTGCAAAGTAATCAGTACATGTATACTGTATTGCATGAATGAGCTTTTACCATTTTCTAAGTCCTCTTCAAGTGTATTGGCACATTTGAGACTCTGGGAAAACAGAGTGGCAATCAAGTTAGCTTTCACATCAGCATCACTGGTGGTGATCTCATGAGGGTTCACAACAGAGTTCCCCATGAAAATTGCCACTCTAAAAAGGAGTTGTAGGTAGGCCAGGACCAACCTCCACTTGGGGTATTCTATCATGATCTGCTTCAAGTTAACAGCAGGCTGCTGGGGAATGACTTGGCCACTGGCATCATGCGCATCGTCGACAAGTGTCTGAGACACAGCTGGGGCAGGATGAGGTGCAGAGTGGGTGATATAAGGGGCAGAGTGGGTGGGATAAGGTGCTCCATGGTGGGAGTAAGCACTGAAGCTACCATCCCCTTCTGACACCATATTGACATCTGATAAAGGCCAACCATTAAAGAATGAATGGTCATTCACTGATATGGTCAAATGGACTTCCAACATATTGGGAATACCACCAAAATTGAAGATGGGCATGTTGTACCCTAATGGATAATCTGCCCAATGAACGATGGTTTGAAAGTTCGCTAGATTGACCTGCGCAACCATCACCAGAGATAGAGCCAGAATTGCAAGGTAGACTTATGATGCCATCGTAAATGATGTGAATTTTTTGTCTTGGCCCTGCCTGGTCCACTTAGCGGGCAGATCCAATGATGCAAGGGAGATGTGCCTCTACAAGACTAATCAATAGGATGGTGAGGTGAAGTTTGGATTCGACTTACATCTATGGTGTAGAGTGGTACCTTGGTGCATTCTACCTCGAGTGCAGGAGCATGGATGCGTCCAGTCTCTAAATATGCAGAGAGTCTGATGTGCTGTTGTATCTTCAGAGCTAATCAATATATAAGGCTCATAAAAAAATGAGCCCACATACGTTCTCAAGACCCGGTGGAGAACACTGCAGGCCATAGTAGTGAGACGACAGGACATGCTCAAGAAAAGACATACTCACATACAATGGACACAATGCTGGATGCTGGCCGACCGCAACATACCCAATGAAGTGCAAGGTGTCGATTACACCTGCAAGATTTCCCTGAAGAAACTGAGTTAGGAATGAGCAATTGGCAAGGCAGAAAGACATACAAGTAGAGGCATCACACAGGGGAAGGTCTCTTTGTACATGTAGCATTTGATGTCGTAAAGGGCTTGGGCATTCTGCAGTTGATACTCTGGTAAAGACATTGTTGGTCAATTTTTGAGATAAAAGATATAAGTTTATAAAGGCCTTTATTCGGTGTAGAGACTCATGCCTCTTATGGTGTGATATGGCAGTTTTCACCAAGGAGTATACAGCACGAACTTGTAGCATCACTATGTGTGCTACCCGCAGCTATCTCTATATGAGGCGCAGCTTTCCCACGCAACACACGCCATGCGTGTACTCTTCCTGTGCTTCACAATGTATATGCACGCGCTTGAGCGCCCTATAGCACTAGCCATCCAGAAGCATCCATCCACTGTCCACCAAGCCCTCTAGTGTGTATATTTCCATTTCTCTTATTAGCATATTGTTCCACCTTTATTTTTATCATGGACCCTTACTTACATATATCTTTACATACCTACTCAGTAGCACTTCGGCTCCGCATGACAGCGCTTAGGCATATATAAGTGCCAGCAGTACATACTATGGGGGGGACTTCACTTTTCCACTCACTTACTGGTTACTACCCACTACTACTTAGCAGAACATAGTAGGAATCTATTTGTCTACACTTTGCATCTCTCTTCTCTTGTCTTACATCATATCATCACTTAAGCAAACTCACTCTTACTCTTACTCATCTCCACATACATGCGCGCACTTTCCCGCACTTCGCACAGCACGCATGTGTGTTCCCACACCTTCGTGCCTTGCACATACCTGTGCTTTCTCATGCTTCACATTGGCCAAACAGTAGTGCCTTCAGCACATATCACTAGATCCTTGCTGCACTCACTTCCCCTTTAGGGTTGAATGCACTTGTCTTCTCAAGTATAGCAGACTAGGCAACATGTGACCTTACAACATTTATAGATACAGTCAGGAGCCTCGTTCACACCTCGCTGTGTTGTAGTTTCTACATTGGCTTGGTACTTACCAATCTGTTGCAATGTTATTATGCGCAGAGTGTAACATTATACCTTAAATGAGTGCCACTTTGTGCCATTCGAGTGCCATTGAGGAAGAATTATTAGGCTTTTGAGTTTATTACATGCATCAACATGGTGGCAAAGCCTGTTCCTCAAGGTCACAGGCAACATTTAATTCTTGTAATCTACTTCTAGTTCAGTATCATACATTTGGCTAAATTGAGACAACAATGACTCGTTGCTGGAATTGAAGTGTTCCTTGAGGATTAGTCCGTCCCTGATACTATCAGCATCATCAGCATCTTTCATCAGTATCTTCAGCCTCGTTGCCTGTGACGACTTCTTGTGGCTTTATTTTTTTGAATTCTTTTTATTGTCCAGTGGGGCGGGGCCCTATGGTGGACAGTACATACAGTATAGTAATCTATCGTAGTATTTGTGCTAATAAAACATTTGTATGTGACTCTAATATTGGTACTTCTCATGGCTTGACCTGTGTGAAGCGATAGTGAGAGTAAACATAGCTCACTCCAAGATCGAAGTGGAAGTGCTGTAGAAACAACAATACTGAGAGGAACAAATGATGCTCCTGACTGTATCTAAAAAATGTTGTAAGGTCACGCATTGCCTAGTCTGCGTTACCTGAGGAGACAAGTGCGTTCGACCCTAAAGGGGAAGCGAGTGGAGCGAAGATCTAGAGGTACGCGCTGAAGCGAGGCGCAGGAACACGCGCGCGTATTAGCGCGAAGTGCGGGAAAGCGCGCACATGCGTGCGGAAATGATAGAGAGACTAAGCTTAAGTGATAATATAATACAAGATAAGTGAAGAGAGGTGCAAAGTGTAGACAAATAGATTTCAATTATGTTCTAGGTAGATAGTGGGTGGAAAGTAAGGTAAAGTGGAAAGTTCAGTAAGGTAAAAGTAGGTTGGAAAGTTCATTTCACTATGTACTGCTGGTGCTTATATAGCGCGCCTAAGCGCTGTAATGCGGAGCCAAAGCGCTACTGAGTAGGTATGTAAAGATATATATGAGTGAGAATCCATGATAAAAATAAAGGTGGAACAATATGCAATGAGAGAAATAGAAATATACGCACTAGAGGGCTTGGTGGACAGTGGATGGATGCTTCTGGATGGCTGGCACTATAGGGCGCTCAAGCACGGGAATGGTGCGCGTTGCGCGGGAAAGCTGCGCCTCATAGTGGAATACCTGCGGATAGCACACAGAGTGATGCTGCAAGTTTGTGCTATGTACTCCCTAGTGTAAAGCGCCATATCACACCATGAGAGGCATGAGTCTCTACAGCGCATCAACATGCCGTGATCAAACCTAAAGTCGTGAGCTCAGCTTTGGTTATTTATGAATTGTCCCCTTGACTCACTGGTTGATATAGTATTCATGCCAATCTTCCTTGTCTCCCGCACACACAGACACCCCCAATCCATCATGATGTCTCTTGCCCCTGGTGAACACAGGAATGATATGACAACCCCTGAGTGTTACAAGTAACATCGGCTACTTGCCCCCTTATCATTTTTTCCTTCATCCTCGTCCTTGCCTACCTCCGGCTCGTACTCCTTTACTGACTATCCGTTGACCGGATCCTCAGGACCGTTCCAGTTCCTCCTCTTCCTCCTATCGCACCAATGTGCGCATGTGCCTTTGGGCTATGACTCGTCTTGACTTGTGCCACCAATGTGGCTTTCTTTATCTGCTCTTATCTCTTATCCGACTTATGTGTGCTGCGCATTGTTCTCTTACCATTGGTTTGTTCCAATGTTTCTTGGTCTCATTCCGCATTCAACCTCCCATCACTAATCAGGCTATGCTGCCATCGTACCTATACCCTTTCCATTTCCCCTTTGCCCTTACCTACAGTACGGTAGCCTTGCCCTTAACCCTTTCCACTTAGTATAAGTAGTCGGTCACCTTGTACTAGATTCCCTAACTTGAATCTACTCAATCTTCCCTCGAACATACTTCCCTCTGAAGCCTCCTCAGCTTCAGTCTCTAGTATCTTTTCTTAGGTGCTCATTGCGCCTAAGTCCACCTTGATTGACTACTCATCGTTTGGACAAGACAGTCCTTACTTTGAGAATGTCAGTGACTTTGAAGACATCTGTCTTAAAAGTCACGTGACACGCGCGTCTCTGATATCTGCTGACTCGATGTCGCTAGTCTCAGTCACTACACTGGACCCTTCTGGTTATGTCATGAACATTAGCGGATGACACCCCTCTTAGAGCTCCGCCTAACAGATCTATTTGAGTGCGTAACACTGAGGATATCTTCCAGATTGATAAAGTCGAATGAAGATTTGTCATCCATAGGTGGGAACCTGAGTTGATCGAGAGTAGAGGTGTCCCAAGAGGAGACCTGCTCCATGGGCTCGTACCAGCGAACCCATAGGAACTAAACTCATAGAGGAGTAAAATCGATCATACCAACTCCAACATAGATTACATTAACATGATAAACACCCAACACTTTACCGTAGATGAATCTATGGCCTTTGAGTCCCATATCATTGTCAGAGGAGAGAACCATCACGTTACAGTGGGAAGTATGTGGGTTGATGACATCTTGAGCTCTACGAACATCATACATAGTATAATTGAATCAGGCGATGTTATGGTGATACAAACGATCATCCTTGATAATAATGGTGTTGGTGTCTTCAGATGAGATATCTGTGAGTTTGTGAATACACTTTAATAAATGCTGCTTGAGCTTTGGAAGGAAATTCTGTACAGGGGTATTTGAAGGTGTTCTTGGGGTAAGTATGATTGGACTGACTTTGATCACTGGATCACCTTCATGGCTGCACAAGTACGTTCCTATGTGTATAGGGTACTTTTATGTCATGCCAATGTGGTGATGAACATCTGGGCTTCTTGCCATTTCTGCGATTTCTACGTGGGGGCAATGAACTATCTTGTCGCCAATGCAGCGGATGCGAGCCTGATGGTGTTCAATGCGGGTCAGCTGTTTCACAAATGATTTATGATCCATGCGGCTATATCTAGCCTTGGGAGAGTGGTGTTTGAGCTCACCCTGGATATAAAGTCAGTAAGTGAATTTTGGGACTGAGCATGATAGGACTGACAGGTTTGGAGCTGTATGAATCGGACGTGCCATACAGATGAATGGTAGAAACGTAGTCACCTAAAGCATGGAATTTATAGGTCTGAAAGTTGAATACTTTATTGCGCTGTGTATGCTTGGGAGATATCGCTGGCTCCATTTGTTTGCCCTGCTGTCCTACTGCTCGTTTTGCAGTTCGCTTTACATTGTGTCGGGTGCGAGCCTCAGCCTCTTGATGAAGTTCTTGTGTATCATATGCTGAGCAAACAGTGGCTTTGAAATTCCGAAACTGTTGGCCAACTGTGGAAGTAACTTGGTCCATAATGTTTAGTGTCAGGTCAGAGTGCATTCAAAGCTTAGCCAGTCCATGCCAATGTGCCATAGTAAATAGCAATTGCATGACAGTCTGATTGTGTGGTTCGGGGAGAAGACCATCAAAGACAGGGATAGCACACTTCAGATCAAGTCAAGGCCCATCCAACTTCAGTGTGAAGATGGAGCATACCTGGAGAAGGTCTTTGAAGTTTCGGGCTGCCATACGATTCAGGTCCGAAGTGTTGGCTGAAAATTTTTGGATGGTTGCTGGGCCGAACATGGGTGTTTGCCTGTATCTTGTGAAGATATCAGGCTGAATTGGTGACTAGTGATTATGGAACATATCTTTCATCCAACTTATGGACTAGACTCTTGTCTTCCACCGTAAGAATTCATAATAAATGAATAAAAAGCATTTTCCAAATGCCTATCTCAAACTCGTGTAAGAGATCTACAACAAGGGCATGGAAGATATTAAAACTAAGATCAGCAAGTTGATTGGAAAATACATTCTATAGGTGGGTGAGTCATAGTCATTGATGGAGGCTGAAACCTCACCGAAGTGGGAACCCAAGACTGTGACTTCAGAAGACCTTCTACCGCTGCGCTCCCCACTCCATAGTCCTTTTCATAGATCAATGACCGTGAAGTGCTTACCATAACTCTTCGTTGATCATCATTGCATTTTACACTGGGTGCGGGATCTATCTTTTCTGCTGGAAAAACTGTAAACTTGTTGAAGGAAAAGGTCAAAATTTATCTGTCATGTAATCTGCCTAAAAATGATGAAACAAAATCATAATGTTCTTGTAAATTTCCAACGGAGAAAACTGTAAACAAATTAAAATTTTGTGGTTTCAATTTCTTCATGATATATCAGGTGACAATTTTAGAATAATGTTCACCTTTGTCACAGAACAAAATACTACACAAATAGAAGCAACATGGTGTATGATTTGTTTTGAAAAAGTATATCAGAAAAAATGAATGGAGAAATCAAAACTTTTTGTATGATGTGTTCCATGGAAAAACAGACAAAATCAGGACCACAGAACCATTTGAATTGTTCCAAACATTGTCAGAAAAGAAAATGAAAACAAGATTGTGACCTTCTGTCACGATGAATATATTACTTTATCAATGGCAATACTGGGGACAAATTGAAAGCCAAATGTCTACATTTGTCTCATATTTAGACAAAACAAAAACAAAAAAGAAATTGAACAGAACAAATCATGAATGTGGTTTCCGATATGTCCAGAGTTTGTGTGCAATACAAAATAAGGAAAAATTGAGATAAATATTAGGAACAGAGGGTGTGTGAATGATAAATGGTCCATTGACTGGTCAGATTTGCAATGTCCAATATCAATGTCCAAATTCAATGTCTGAGTCCAGTGTCAAATGACCAAGTCCAATGTCTCATGTCTGAGTCCAATGCCCAATGTCCAATGTCCAATATCCCAGTGCAATGTTACAAATCAGATTTCAATGTCCAAGTCAAATGTCCAATGTCCGAGTGCAATGCCCAATTTCTGAGGTCAATGTCCAATGTCCGAGGTCACTTTTCAATGTCAGAGTTCAATTCCCAATGTCCAAATCCAATGTCCAACGTCAATGTCCAATGTCCTAGGTCAATGTCCAATGTCAAAATCCAATGTTTGAGGGCAATGCCCAATGTCCTAATCCAATGTCTGAGGTCAATGTCCAATGTTCCAATCCAATGTCCAAGGTCAATGTCCAATGTCCAAATCCAATGTCCAATGTCCGAGGTCAATGTCCAATGTCTGAGTTGAATGTCCAATGTCCGAGTTGAATGCCCAATGTCCAAATCCAAATCCAATGTCCGAGTTCAATGCCTAATGTCCTAATCCAATGTCTGAGGTCAATGTCCAATGTCCAAGGTCATTGCCCAATTTCCAAATCCAATGTCTGAGGTCAATGTGCAATGTCTGAGGTCCATGTCCAATGTCCGAGTTCAATGCCCAATGTCCATATCCAATGTCCGAGGTCCATCTCCAATATCCTAGTTCAATGCCCAAAGTCCAAATCCAATGTCCGAGGTCAATGTCTGATGTATGAAGGGTGCCAGCGGACAAAATTTGTCTGGGTTTGATCATCAACACTTTCGCTTTCCGGTCGTGTGAGTTTTCTTTCCCAAAACCAACTTTCACTTTCCGGAACATATGATTAAATTTCCATTTCGGGATATGCTTTCACTTAAGCTTTCTGCACATGTGCAATAACAACTAGAGTTCCTCGTCCTTCGACCTTAGTTTTCATGGAATGATGGCAAAGTGCACGGGCCAATGCCAAAAAGTGCGAAAACATGAACAACCCACCTTCTCTTCTGACTGCGTTCAGTGTGACAACAGTACCAACTCTACTGACGACGAATGAACTCTGTAACATGCCTATACAAACATCGCACTGCCGTCATGGGAGTGGGTGCCGTTGCACAGGGTATATTGAGATTTTTGGGGTGAGTTTCTCAATTCATCTTTGACGCTCAAAAGTGATACCATCTTGATTAGATTGATACATGTGCATGCTCACATTCGGAGCAAGATCATGCTGTCATCGTTGACGTCCCATCCCTTCCTCTTCGTCACTGTCCAGATCAAGCCCAACAACATTTCATGATGGTATGTATTTCAATTATGAGTCCTAGCATCAGGCTAAAATTCTGTAAGAATAATTCACCTGGGGATCCTCGAGCAATGTGTTTGCTCTGCTCTTGCCCATATTACAAACATTCATTGCCACTTTCACCCCAGCATCAGGACTCCATCGAACCAAGCACACCATCTCTTTTTAGTAGACATGGATCCAGCACCAGCGCTTCCACAAATGTCTCCTTGTCTTCACTTACAACTCCAGTGACTTTGCCCCGTTCCATGCAAGGCTATCTCCAGCCTCCCACTTCGCCATTAGCATCAGTTTCTTCAAATTCTGGCTTGTTGCTTGCACCGGTGGCAAATATTCCAGCCTCTTTACCTGCAGCTACACCTGCCAGGTGGTCTGCCGCATCCCTCCCTCCATGGAATCCTCCAGGACCTCCGATCTCTGGAACAACCAACGACCGTCGCTTGTCACACCATGGGCAAGGTGTTTCCTGGTCACCGCTTTCAGTAATTCCAACCATCCAAAGACGCCAGGCAGAAAGGTCGGCTAATGCTGTGGCTTCCTCGTCAAGACATCCTACCAGTCGAAACTCGAGGTCAACAAGTGTGACCCAATGCCGGCGTGAAACCACGAAGTACCTTGTAGTACTACATCCTGAGCCTGTACGTTTTTTGCGCAGTCTTTGATTTACACTTATTGGCCTTTATCCGTCCTAGATGCATGGGACGGTGCACACAGAATATGAACATATGTTCCGAGAAATTCGTGCACCTATACCACAAAAGATTGCGAGTTTCATTCTGCAGGCCCGCAACTTTGGTCTTGTCTTTGAGATCGAAGACAGTTTTCAAAAAGACGATCCTGCTGGTCCTGTATTCCATCAATCCCTGTGCTCTCATTTTGAGAGGGTTGGCCTTGCATTTTCTGGATCTGATTCACATCCACTTCCGTCATCGAGCAGCCTACCAACTCCAATGACTCAATTCCCATGGTCTTTCCTGTTGACGGGTAAAGGACAGCGTTCTACACGTGGTGCCAAACTTCTACCTGCAAGATCATCACCGGAACATCTGACCCACAATGATATCCAAAAGAATGGGTCCAGACTCCCTGTCCCATCTGCACCGTACCATGATCATACCCTTGTATTCATTCGTAAGTATTTCTTGCTCACCGTCATCTTCCTGACACTGATCATATTGGCAGTCCCTCTGTGGGATATAATTGCAGGACCAATTGATGGTCACGGCATGCATTGTTGCCTTGCTCCGCGACTTTGGAATGGTCATTTTGAGTCGTCACTTCGTGAAGAACTTGAGGAGATTCAGTGCTTGACTATATGTATTACTCAGGTATGCCATCACGCTTTGAATCAGATATGATACTCATGACGGTGTTTTATAGCCAGTTCAAGCAGCTGCTGCCATTCAAACATGCCAGCTGAATCTTTTAGACGCACTCACCAACAGCAGAATAAGCAGTACTCCTACTGCTCTGGCATCTACATCCCAGCCACGACGTCCTAGTGTTACCTTGTCTGGATCTTCTCTATCAGCTTCTACGTCTTCTGTGTCTTCTACATCATCTGCATCATCCTCTTCTGAGTCGTCTTCATCTCCATTTGCTCCCACACCCTCTGCTGTATCTGTATCATCTTCGCCTCTGTTTTCTTCTGCATCTCTGCTTACCTCTGAAACTACTCCTCACTCTCCACACGTGGCATTGCGTCAATGGCGCAACAGACTCGAACATGACCTTCAGTTGCGTAGAGCTGTTGCTGGACAGGAAGACCATGTCATTCATATTACCGCCCCCAATGCTCAGAAGGCTGCCGAAAGCTTCCTGGCGCTATGTAAGGTTTGGTGTCTAGAAGGGAGTGACAGCCAACTAGTCTTCCCGGACGATACAGAGATAACCAATGCCACACCCTTACACCATCATTGATGTGTTGCAACTGACTTGCATGATTACAGTGGTTACGGTGTAGGAGATGGTCCCATGCGAAGCTTTTGGGGCGCCTTAATTGCTATGATCACCCAACATTCTGGCCATTGGCAGCTGATGTCCGAAGGATACTACATGCCCACAGTCACATCTCTTCCTCCTTGTGACGAAGATACCATATCTTTTCGTGCCTATAGTCTCATTATCCGTACTGGTTTTATCCTTGGTATGGAGCTGCTTCCCATCTCACCACATTTGCTCGTCTACCTACTGGATGGTTACAAAGTTTCAATTGCGCAACCATTCTTAGACACTACGTCACCTATGACAAGTCAACGCCTGCGCTCATGGCCACCACCCTCTGTCATCAGTCCTTCAGGTCGCAGAGAACTCAGTATTGCACCTGCCTGTGATCCGTACTCACTGATCTTAGAGGTGGATGGTACAATACAGGTAAATGTTCAGCGCTCAATCATCTAATAGAAGTATCTAATCTGTTGATCTTGTAGATAAATCAACTGCGCTATCTCTCTGAAGCAGCACAGACGAACCTGGGGCAGCGGCTGATTTGTCATATGGTCTTTGGTAATGAGACACCTCTCGCACACAGACTACACACAGTCTATAGTGCTCTAAAGTCTGCATTCCAATATGTCATACATGATGATATGAAATTCTGTGATGTAAGTCAGCAGTTCGCACTCAGTGTATTTCTAATCTCTTGTCATTAGTACTTTCATGTAGACAGCTCTGCACAGCCCATCCTGCAAGAAATGTTTGCTGGTCGCATTCTGACCTCTCCTCAGCAAGTCATCGATATCATTTGCCCTGAGCCAATTACTTCGTATTCCCTCCCTCTACGACAGGGATACAATCCTAATCTGGACTATGTCACATTGGCAGGACAGTTTATGGTGCACTTGAAGCGCTACTTGCGTGGTCGAGGAACCCCTCATGCTGCTGATGGCAGCGTGCTCTTTGAGGAGGATTCTAGCAGCGACGATGTCGTGTATAGGTCACGCTTGTTTTTGCGCAGTGCCACTGCACACGAAGTCTTACCAGTTGATGCAACACAACGCATCAAAGTACGTGATCCATAGCCAAATTCTAAATGATCAAGTCATTGACATCCACTGCACAGATCAAATTTGACATGTATTGGGAACACAGCTGGGGAAGAACTGTCGTAAGTTTTATTCTCTGAGTCATACTGAAATTCACGAGAGTTAAATGTGTACCAGGGCATTCATACCCATACGTGCTTCTACAAGTTAGATGTACTGTTGGATGAAGCCACCGCCAGTATCATCAGCCAAGCAATCCCTGAAGACGACTTCCAGACAACTGATTTTGACCGGTGGATCCACTCTAACATCAGTGAAAATTCGTCCAATTCTTATAACCAAGTATAGATTCACATTCAAACACGTTCTGTCGTTTTTTTTTGACAAACTTTCAATGCTAAAGCTAGATATTTTCACTCCGCACTTTCAAAATTTGCAAGCCAGACTCTCTATGTTATTAGTAATGTTAAACGTTCACCATTGCAGATGCTTGTCGTCATAACTCATACTTACTTTTACTAATATATGTCTGTACCAGTCACGACTCATACATTGCAGCGACCCCGTTTTATTGCATTCAAACCATCAAATTTGGTAACCTTGTAGAACATAAGTAATACCTAGTACTATCAATGCTAGATGATGCCCCTTGTCTGCGTCTACACAGTGAGGGGGTATGTGGTCGGTAGGAAGAGGACCAGTCGCAGCTAGACTATGTCCATGATCCACCTGACCACCATGTCCTATGTATACTATAAGTGAACAAACCTCGACACCCGGATTACATCACTCACCAAGGCAGCTTCAAGTTGGTCGTAAGGAACCATGTGCCTGAAAAGATAACCGTTTACATATGCACCATGTAATTGCACATCATATCTGAGAACAGCATCAGAAATCCGCAACCACGATAGATAGAAGTTCTACTCACCCGCATTACCAGCATAGATCAACAGCCTGACGCCATCATTGATCATATCCGTCAATAGCAGAGGCGTGTTCCGCATCGAATCGCTCTGGAGCATGAACGCCTGGTTGACAGCCATGTTGCAGGACTCGAACTTGCGCTGCGGGTTCATGCCAAGTGTAGCTTTCACCTCAGGATCATTCATGAAAGTCTCGATCCAGCCCATCTGGTGGTAACACAGAGGCCCGTCTTTCTCACGATCACATTTGATACGCGCATCGTAAGGGTTGAGACCAGGTTCTGAAGGGAGGAGTTCAGGTATGATTGAATAATATCGGATTTCATACTAATGGGACAAGCAGAGCCGTGAAGCTTGTAGTAGAGGGGAAGTCCATGCTGCTGCGTCGCAAAGACGAAGAAGTACCTGTAATTGTCGCACCAGAACCCGTTCTGAAACTTCTCCTCCATAAGAGGAGTAAGAAACCGCACTGCTAGGCGGCTCTGAATGGTAACACCTCGTTTGTGCCACTACCGACACCAGGTGTCCATGTTAGAGCGAGAGATGTCGTATCGGACCCTGCGGCAGCCAAGTATGGAACAAAGACGAGATTGTGATCTGACCCTCCTAAGCCAAGCAAGCTCTCGGGATAACTTAAAAAGTGCACCTTGATAATTCTCTCCGACACCAGGCAAATTCACCAGCTGCTCGATACCGCATCGCTTGAGGATCACCTCATCCCAGACCTCTCCAGGATGATCGGGGAGCCGAATACCCCCAGCGCACCCATCAACTCGCTGCCACCTCCCATACCCGTACCCACCATTCCTGTGCCTGCTCCCATCCCCACACTCATGTTGTGTGAGGTGACAGGTTGAGTAGTACTGTCTGGTGCTAGATGGCGAAGGCGTAGGGCAGCGTGAAACGCCCGGAGACACAGAGGGTGTCGAAGCACTTGGAGGCTCGGTGAGGGAGGAGCGCTGGAGTGTGCCAAAGGAGAGATCAAAGAAGAGAACGAGAGAATGATTAATGATTACTACACTCCAGTCCAGTCATCGATCGAAAGCTTGACAGGCGAAGCACGGAGTTTGAAATTTCAGCCAAGTTCTGATAGGTTCTGATCGACGTGCTCTGTATGAATGGTATGTGTTTGCCTTGAGCTCCCATGCATGCAATCTTCTCATCACTTAATTCACAATGCAGCACACTTCAAATACCATGGAAGTGACCACTGACTCCCTTCTTCGATACCCTCAAATCTCTTAGAGTACCACTATGACTTGGAGCACTCCCGCACGCACTTTCCAAATACCTCGTAAAGTAAACCACGTGAGTTTCCATTAAACACTATGAAACAGTCCCTTATAATCCCTCCTGCTGAATGTTGTCGCAGTTCACAGAAGTGCATTATCGCAATCCAGACTGCGAGACGTAGTGCGATGACCTGCCAGAAGATGGTGAGCAGGACTTTTAATTTGCGCTATTTGATGTACAGCTTGGTTGTAGATAGCTTGCGCATCGGTGCAGGCCGCAACTCTGGTTATTCATAAACACGTGGAAAATGTGAGCTTCCACGCATCCTCGACTTGTAATTTTCAGCCTTGACATCACCTACTCAGTCCTCCACAACCACTTCTATTACTTTCAAAACATGCCTATAGCGCCCATTGACCCGGTGGTTCGTTCATGCTAGTCACACTCCAACTGTTCTGCTCAGAACGACTGTTACTTTGTTTGAAATGTTTTATCACTTGTGCGTGCCTGAATTCTCGTCTACATCTATTCTCATAACAAAATACAGCGCACTTCAAATATCTTCGAATATCCACTTCTTAAATTAATGCCCTTAGTATCACCACTTCTTGCACGCACGTTCGAAATTCGACAACATCTTCAATGGCTACATACTTCCTGCATCAAAAGATTAAGCTTGACCTCGCTATCTTGTCCGCAGCCCGACCTCAAGCAACAGATGCTCGACTCCTGCACTATCAATAGTGCTGGTGCCTGCATGTCCATTCCTGGGTACGTAACTTTCACCATTTTGAAGCACGTTAACAAGCTGTGTTATGTTTCGTGTGCTATTCACAAACGTTAGTACCCTGGATTCTTTCAAATTCCCCTGAATCCACAGAAGCGCTAGGTCTCAAGCGAGGAACTGTGGCCTTCATATCACAAATGTTTAATACAGTCTTTGTACCTCCAGGTAGTGCTTCAGCAACAATCCTAAACACATCTATAACCATATCCGTATTTCTATTTCGATGAACAAAGAAGAGAGGCAAGCTCCTTCATAAGCGTTAACCAACTTCAGCCTCCTGAAGTATACCTCGCATCATTAAGCTACGCATGCATGAATGTGCTTCAGACACCTGATGATCACCTTGAATGGATCATGACATCTGTGAGTCAGTTGGCATGAGTCCGGCGAGAAAACAAGGGTGGGAGTCCGTGGGACATTGAATGAGACGGAAAAATGAATCGAGTACGAATTACTGAGGAACTGAAGCAGTGCGCTGTCATTTCCTCTCGCGCGCTGCCTGAGAAATTATTTTCATCGCAAAGAGAAAATAAGAACCGGTGGTTGGTGCAAGTGTGTGTGGGCAGCTAGTACAGATGTTCAGGATATTGATTGTAATATTGTCAGCACGTAGTATGTATAGCAAATCACTTGACAAAATAATACGACAAGAAACTTTGTATGTCTCCTTGAAATCTACTTTGGAACACTAAATACTTTCAAGAAAGTGAGATTAAATAAAAGGACATTCCCCTGCTCTTTGGAGGGCACTAGACAACCGTTAATTCCACCGACTATCACACACCACTACCAGTCGAAATTTCCACACGCTCCTGGAAAGTGATTGAGGTCATACCAGTTGCTGCGTCAGAATTGGCCACGAGCTTAGCGTGGTATTCTCGAACACCAAGGATCAGGCACGGTCCCAACACAAACATCTGCACGACCTCCAAAATCTGAAGAAACCCATACATAATCAGGTTGTCCAAGGAATCGGCCTATAGAAACGATAAATTGTGGTAGCGTGCATAGGCAAGTGAAAGATTGACATACCGTGAAGAATGTTGGATAGAAAACAAGAATGAGAGAGAAGCAAGAAACAGCAACAAAGCTACCACGTCCGATCTGTTAGTGGAAAAAAGGAACAATAATCACAATATGAGCTTACCTCACAAAGTAAACTGCGTGAGTTTTCATCAGCACCGTGAAACAGTCCTCGATAATGCCTCCTGCCGAATGTTGTCGCAATTCACATAAGTGTTTTACCGCAATCCAGAGTGCGAGACATAGCACTATTCAGAGGACCTCCCATGCAGTGCCGAGAATCCAAGTAATTGAACCCAGAAGTGCGATATCTTCCAAATAGTTAGACTGGCAAAGCATCTGTGCAGAAGACTCACAGTATCTGTCAATGAGAAAGTTGGAACATGCACTATATGTCGTTGTTCAGAATAAACACGGACAGCAAGTATCATTAATGGGGTGGATGTATGTGTTTTTTGACGCCGGAGAAGATACGAAGAAACAGAAGGTTTTGAGGTGAATTCTTGTCGATTTTCAATAAACACAAAGTACTGACTGAAGGGGAGTCCTCGTAGTATATACAAGTTTCAAGTATTAGGCTCGGTTCTAGAAGAAGCTAATGCTAATGTTTGAATCCAAAGTAGACAGCGTGAGTGCATATTGACATAGAGACTAGAATCGAGAAGGGGCTGGATATCTGAGAGAAAAGATTGAAGTTGAGTGTCAGTAAATGGACAACGGGACTCAGGAACCTCGACATGGGATAGATCAGAATCAGGATGATTTGATACAAATGGATTGGTTGAATCACCGTCCTCGGGATTATGAGTATTGTGATGAGCCAGTAGACGCTGGTCATCCAAGTCATTCCAGTCAATGCCATAGCTGGCAATATCTTCTACCTCCTGGTCCTCAGCTAACTCAACAAACACCCCTCGATGCCCGTGCTCAATGATACCTTGGATGAACATGTCATGGGGCGACCGATGGGGCTCTCCACGACGCCCGAGAACATGGTGATTCCACGAGGCTGCCCACTGGCCTGCGTCGTCATTGATCAAAGGGATGAATAGGAAATGAAGTAGCCACAGGTGTGAATCGTTGTTCATGTCGAGGTTGTCGTAGGCTTCAAGAGTCTGGAAAAATTCCTTCCACTTCTGCCCTAGGCCGTTTGTTACATCTACCCAAAGACGTTCAATCCGGATGTTGTGAACGCTCCTGCAGATATAATTAAAACAGGCTAGCATGTGGAAAGCTCAATGATACTTACCTGCCCCATATGTATGAGCCACGCTCAATTCCTCGTACCTCTTCCATCCGGGCAGCAACAAGTATATTTTCTGTCCCATGGTCGCCTCTCACTCGGCTTGGGTATCCATGGATCATAGCAATATCTTCAAATAAAGAGAGCACAGTTGCGGAGCGGTTGTTATTACTGACACGAATTCCTAGAACATAACGAGAGAATCCATCAATGAAGCCATGGATGACTAGCTTCCAGTGGATGAGACCTGCAAATAAATTAGTAGCTTTATTACACCACATGTACACAACACACCATGCTGTCCATCGTGATGAACAAGGGCCATGGGGCCTGGTACAGAATAGCTACGGCGTTGGATTCGCCGTGGACCAAATGTCGAAGGAGATGGACCAACAACTCGCAGATATGATACTTCTATACAACTGCGAGGGATGCGGTAACCAAGCTGCAAAAGATAGCCATCACGCATCCGTCGTCCAAAGGACGGAAACTGCTGATGGAGTTCCAGTATCAATCTATCAAGTTCAGCATCTGAAATTGTGGATAGATCACTCGAAGATCCTCGATGGTATATTCGGTTGATACTACCATCAGGCTGCTGCTCATCCACATATACTGGAGGTCCAGGAGAAGAAAGGTTGAATTCGAGTAGTCGACGACGTATGGTGCGGGGATGACATTGATAGAGTTCAGCTAGGCGCCTCCTTGATACCCTTCCTGATGAGAGTACAGCAAGATCAGACGGAAGAATGTGAATGCTGGGTCTTCCAACAGTGCCTGTATGGGTATGACTTCCTAAGTCGACAGGGCTGGCATCTGGTGGATCAGATGATATTGTGGTGGCAATATCTAGCTCTTGAATCATGTGATCCACACTGGCTTCAATGACATGTCTTTCCGCAGGTGGGATGATGTTCAAATGCTGAGATAGCTATCAGATCACGTCCTAAGTTCTCATAATGATACCACAAGTAGCTACACCTGTTCAATAGCCTC